AGGGTAATTCTGCACTGTTAGTTTGAGATTGCATTGTCCATGTGCGGAGCGATGGTTCCTAATGAGGGCCCTCTCGTAGAGCTTATGGCGCCAAACTCTCGAACTCTGGGATCTGAGATACTTGGGGGTCGGGGGACTTAGGAAGTAGTTAGTAAGTAGACTTATAAGTACCCTAAAAGGGACGCTAATTGGGGTTATGGTACTTATAAGTCCTTAAAGTAACCAGTTACTAACCCTAAGGGTCCAAAGTATGCGATAATCATATACTCTTGTCAAGAGGACTTGTTGGAAGACACATCCATGAAAAGACCCCTCTGGCTAAATGTTAGGCTTCGAATGGGTCATGGGTTTCGGCTCATTAATTGGAGGTGCCTTATATGGTGCTAATTTTAGATTGGGGTATCTTCTATGGTGATAATTTTAGATTGGGGTAACTGCTATGGTGCTAATTTTAGATTGGGGTATTTTCTATGGTGATAAATTTAGATCGGGGTAACTGCTGTGGGGCTAATTCTAGATCGGGATATGTAGTCAGAGGGAACCAAGGATTTTGCCTCGGGGAATGTTGGGGTGCGGGTCGCTGCTGTGTGGCCCGAACTTGCATCCGGATGTGCCGCGATGCTTTTTCCCGTGCGCCCCCAGCTGTGTCATTGTCTGAGCTGTAGGTACCATCTTTGGAGGGCTATCGGTGGCAGCGACCATGGGTGTGATACTGCAGCTAGACCTGGGATTCAGTCCACATGTTGATACACTGAAAAACAATGGTATGCTGCAACAACACATGAAACAGTGCTGCAAGGATACGGGAGATCTTGCCAACTGCATCTTCTTGAAGGAAGCAGTGGTAATATCGACAGTTTTCTCCTTGCAACGGATGACAGTTTGATGTTCAGTAAACTACCCTAGGATTTATATACCGGGTTACACTTGCACTGGGATTTATGTCTCGGCGAGTGGCTGTGTGCCATCTGGAACCATGCTAGCTCCTGCCACGCCTCAGGGAATTGGAATGCTTGCGATAGCTGGTCGATTCTGGGTTGCATGTACAAAAAGCATATAACAAGTATTACTAAGTGTAGCCTTGCTGCATGCAACTTTGGCTTGTTGGGCCAAAGTGGGAGACCCAGGTTTGCAGCCCGTGCACCAAGCTCAAAGTAGCAGAGAAGGCATTGATCCTTGCGAGAATCTAGACACATTAATGCCAATGAATCGCCATCGGACCGATATAGGATCCACCCAAAAATAAGTAATCGAAGCAAGGGTCACAGGAGGTCTGCATTTTCTGTGCCTCATCCAACGAGAGGTACCTTTGGGCGTCCTCGCTTTGGTCGAACCAGGCCGCCAGGTGATGCCTTGCAAGGTGGTGTAAGTTGTAGATTAAACATTATATAGGGGTATACAAGCTAGTGTGGTACACCTATGCTGCATTACAAGTTCTATAAATATCGAACATACGCATCTTACAGACTGATTAGAATAAAACATAAGCAGCTGGATATCGAAGTCGACATGCTATTCGAAAAGACGAGATACGTGCACATGGCCATGAGCTTCAGCACTTCAGAGGGCTCGTGTTCACGGTACAATGCCAGTAAGAAGGAAGCCAGCCAGGCCACCACCACACGAGCCTAAGCATGATCCAGGGGCCACTTGAAATTAGATCCCCGTGGCTTATCAGATCATATATTCGAGTTGCATTATAAGCTTTGGCACGGAGCTCCGGGAATGGACCATCGGGTGACTTCAGGGAGGCAGTGGTGAATCGAGGCTGGGTGTTCCTGAGCTTGGTTTCTGATAGGCCAACGCAACAGATAGTGTTGCCTAAAAAACGTCCATATTCAAGGTTAGGATTTATTATTCGGATTCCCATATCGCAAAAAGGGGCGGTATCTTGCGTTCGTGACACCAGAGCTTGAAGGCTTCATGTGCTCTCCGTAAGCGCTGGGAGTCATCCCCCTCACCAAAAACTCCAGGGAAGTCTGTAAGGAGTAACTTGAAGCAAGATCCCACGACCCACAACACCACTCCCAAGTTGATGATGTGCATCGCACACCATTTGTACAAGGCAGCTGAAGCTCCTGGAAGATCGAAGAGCGGGCCTTGGAAGGGGCTTCATCGGCTTATAGTAGCTTGGCTTGGGTTTTCACTCAGTTCATACCATCTTCGATAAGAATCACAGCTCATCTAAGGTGACCACACCTATTTAAGTCTGACCTACATCACAATGTAAATCAAGGGCGATCCCAATTCAGATTCGGTGCTTCGGATGCCACGGTGGGTGCATTGGTCTCGGATCTCATCCAAAGTTCGGCGAGGGAGTTCAGCTAGAAGCGAGGGTGCAACTGCAAAAACTTTGTGTGTCACCCGACAGTGGTGACACAACTGTGTGCTTGACCAGCCCGTTGTCAGACCCAGCCACTCCTTTGCTAACACAGCTAGGCCAATGTAGAGATGTAGGACTCGCCTCACATAAGACTAAATTTATCCGTATATTGCATGTCGTCTGTGTCAAGTCCCAGGTTCTTTCTGCCACTTCCAGTCAGCCCTGACTTCACAGCACAGTGCATGTAGCATCACAGCATTGCCCGTCCGAGAAACAGCCACACCATTAGCCAAGAGGTGGAAGCTCTTGACCACCTCGGATAAAGTTCCAGGCGGGACATGATTCGATTGAATGTACATGGGGAGGCCTCATAAAAAAATAGCTCAACCCTGATACTAATATAACTGCATCTGTTCAACTGGAGCCATGTAGGCAGCAATTGTTCGCATACCCAGACTGAGTTCCTTGGAGTCGCATGTCAGTACATAAATAATATTAAACACTTCATCCTTGTATCTGACTATGGGACTTGATGATACAAAGTCGATATGGTGTAGGACCCGGAGTTATAGGTGCCAGGAATGCAGCACCAGCGAAGGTGGAGTGCTGATTACATATAAGATGGTCTCTATTGTATGTAGCTTATAGGTGACAAGCTTCGACACCACAAACCCAGAGTGGGAAGCAGCTGTGATAGGAGGATCGACATGGATCCAAAACATGGCCCATCATAACCACCATAACTTTCTGATTAATCTTCTTCCCGTAGCGACAGTCATCACCCCAAAGCCAAACAGGGTGATGCTGATGTGATGGTGGCTGGATGCCCGTGGAGAATCGTTCTTGGTGGCTCCAGTATTCATCTACAGCATCCATAGCTACATCGGGCCATACTCCCTGGCGCACCAGCCAAGGAAGTAGCTTGTGTGGTAGAACAATAGGCATCGCCCTGACCAGCACAGTTCATATCTCCAAACCACTATAGGTCCCAAGTTACACTTCAATTATCCTCCGAGCTAGGGTTACATGACATCCGACTAGCATTTAATAGGACTCCAAGCCCGTCCCTGCAGCAACAGGCTCCTGTCCTTGTCTCCACCTTGGCATCTCCCGATTCAGGCCGGATAGGGACATCCACATAGTCGATCGGTGCCTGGGTTCGTTGGGATGTCTGTGTGTCACTACAGTAATATTAGAACTTCACTACAGTTAGCAACGACTCGGAGGTTCGTGGGGGGTTGGGAATAGCTATAATAATAACATCATGTAGGATCAGTACGTACGGCTCATTTTAAACCATTATTCCGATCACGGGTCACTTAGCTAGCTGTATACGTTGAACTGACTCGCAGCTTTATTTAGCAAGAGGCATCATCGCCAGTGGAGCTCGTTCGCAACATGTCCCGCTGCACATTGCTAGCCCACTTCCCGTCGCAGCCGGCTCGCACCAGTCGGGCGCAAGGCCCTTGCATCTTCACACCATGCCAGCTCATCTCCTGCACCCAAATCGTATAATATTGTCAAGTATAATGTGTAGCTAGGAATTCGATAACTCGAGTGGCCTACACAGCATTTCAAAAGCAGTGCCACACCTGACACTAAAGACTCCTGATCTTTTTTATTTAAGAACTAGGAACACTGCAAATTAGCAATCTACAAACGGGATTTGCATCGACAGTCCTCTTTCACAGCTTGCAAAGATTCGCGGGCACTCTTGAAGGAAGCCTTGAGATCATGGTCCCCACAGAGTCGGTAAGAGATTGTACGTGTATATACACTTGGAGACATAACTATAATTGCAAGCCAGCCACTCCACGACCCACAGCCCGGAGCAAGTGCTGGAACAGCGGTGATGTCCTTGCTCTTGCAAGGTCACCTGCGAAGGGGTTGGGTTAGTGAGCATCGGTTGTGGAGGGAGGTTTGCAAGCCGATCTAGAGAGCAGTAGAAGCATGCCCACATGAGAGTATATTGTTCATTTTTGTGCAGCTGCCTTGGTTGGATGTCTGGCAACCTTGTCGAGCCCTGCTTCTAAGGAAACAAGGGTCATGTGCACTCGAACGAACATGGCTTTCCGCAGCTCCAACAAAAATCGAAGCATTCCCCTGCTGAAGGTTCTAGCAGCATGCCGGTGTACACGGATCCAGGACCTAAAGCACATGTGGTAGTCCAAAACTTAAGCAGTACACAGCCAGGCTAGAATATGTAAGACGGGTTACTAGTCACAAGTGACAATAAGAAGATCCCAGATCACACGGCACACTACATACTGGGCCCTCAACTGAATGCTTCAGCCCACACGAGCTCCGTCTCAGATTCTCCGGATGTGGTCATCAACGTGACCGCCCCTTCGCCTTGGCCTTGGGCTTCGGTGGATCCTGGGATTGGTGTCTTTATGTATCAGGGTTGCTTGCTTAGGCTACACATATGAGTCATGGGGTTTCCTGTACTCATCACAACCTGTGGTTGCTCGAAGGGGGTTCCCTATATCATAGTACATGTCAGTGATATGATTTCTTGATTTATGAAGTATATCGATGGTTTGCAAATAGGATGATAATATATACGGACAAGTATAAGTTAGAAGTACGGTTTATTGGAATTTAAATACAACACATAGCATGTAACCAACATATATACACATGCTCCTCATACATGTATAGAGTTGGCACTTGACTCATTGTGATGATCAAGCTCCTGAGTATTCGCACTGAATGCTCAACTAGATACTTGATGCTAGCATTTCCTTCTCCGGTATGTATCTATTATAAATACACACATATCCATATACTATATATATACTATGTATATATATATATGTATATATATATATTATCTATGTCGAGATCCATACATATGTTCTTATCGCAAAGTACAAGATACTTTGCATGACTGCTATGGCACGAACACACACACACATGCACACACACACACACACAGCCCACATGTACATGTGTCTGATTGGCTTCTCAGCGCTAGACATGTACAGTTACTGTATACATGTACATACATACTCATGAACTTGCAGAGCTCTATGTGCCGGAAAGGCTCCAGGGTCAGCTTCAGAGGCTTCATGGCCCCGGTAAATGTCGTCGTGGCTGCATCTGCACGATCTAGCAAGCCCTGAATCTCGCCTTTCGTGGTTTCGGGCATGTCCACATCCTTTGTGTTGTTGTGTATGCTGTACAAACCTTCGAGTTCACCTTTGATGCGACCGAACACATTCTTGTGGCTGTCCAGCTCCTCCTGGTAGTTGTCCTTCGCCTTTTGTGACCTGGGATCTGGATAATTATTAGAAGCATCTGGGCTACTGTGTCGATTGATTAGCAGGACATCCTCAAGTATATAATGTCTAGTGGCAGTGTCGATTCCGACAACTTGGTAGACCACACTATGATATCGGTGAGCTTCCCAGCCATAGCCTGTATCTTCGCATTGACTTTCTTTGCGAAAGAATACTCGTTCACCTTACCTGTCTTCCGTGGGTTCTGGTTCGTGGTTCCCGGAGGATTTGTCAACGACTCGGCGGACTGGGACTTCCCGAAAGATTTCAGGAGGTCCGCACCACCGCCTGCAGTGGCACCTGCATTGTTCGGCATCAAGATGGGCCTGGGCTTGTACAACTTCTTTCAGGTTAAAGTGATCATGGTTTGTAGGTGTAGCTTAGAAGTGTTTGATGTTTGGGGATTATTATAGGTAGGTTCGGGGCCCAGAGAGGATGGGTTAATGGATATACTTTTCTGTAGATGTCTATACGGATATATTGAGACACCTATACATATATGTGTACATCGAGCCTCACATCATGATCAGAGCAGTCTTCGAGGGGAATCTGGTGTATGTATATATATATATATATGTACATCATGTAGGCTGTAGGCATAGCTGCCAGACAAGTGAATCACATACGTGTTCAATTGATAGTCGTGTGGATTAGAATCGTTGTTCAAAGCTTAGAACTTTTGAGTTTACTAAATTGCAAGCTAGGCTCGCAAGCTGCCCTGCAGCCTGGGACGATATGCTGCCTTCCGAGTGGAATGCAGCACTGGTCGTGTTGTTCTCGTTGAATTCGAACTCGATCGTGTCAAAGACTCGGAAGAGTTCCCAGGCCTCAGCTCGGAGCATATACACCAAGAGGCTTATATATGATGGATCAGTCTGGACATTTATAACAATCTGCTTACACACTATATGCTTAAGCACTTTGCACACACACATGCATGGTAGAGATACACACTCCAACATGAGTACATCTCTCATAATTGGAGTAGCTTATGCAGAACACTCGGAATCACCACCAGTCATGTAGAGGCCCAATTATATACTAGGGTAGCCGGCATGAATTAAGTCCAGGGTTCCGGGTCATCGATGCCATCCGGATGCGGCATATGATAAGGTTTTGGATCGGTTTTGGGGTCACGTTCCTTCTCCTTTGCATATTTCTTCGTCCGAATGCTATCCGCTGTTTTCTTGCCATACTCGTCACATAGCGACTTGTAGGATCGCATCTTTTCCTTGGCTTTGAACTTCTCCTCGTTCACTCGCGTTGCCTCGATGACTAACTGGGTGTTGGCCCAATCTTCACCGGCAGCTAGCCACTCCTGAAACCACACACCCAGGGTTTTCAGACGATCTTGGTTGTGCAACTATATATTAATTAGTGTCTACACACTGAACACACTATTTCTCGAAAATGTTCGTTCTATAATATAGTGCACAAGCTACTGGGCTGCCCTTGAAGCTCCTGCAGCTTGTCCAGGACAATCTGTGGACAGTCAGGACCTGAGAAGTGCTATGCTGTATCTGTAGGACTCGGGAGCTCAACTTACTAACTAACTGGACAGCATCTAGACCGCTGCGTATTCAAAGGACAGGCAGCTGTTGAAGGTTCTGTCGAAGCGAACCCGGGCATTGTGCTTCAACCTTTTGGCCTGCTTCTCCTCCCATTCCTGGCGATCCTCCTCCGATGCAAACTCAGGCTCGGCCTTCATTTTTTGCAACGGTGGAGCTGGTGGAACAAGTGCAACCTGTGTCGGCGCAGCCTCTTGCATCACTGGTTCGATCTTGGGGCCCTCTTTGATCTCCGGTTGGATCTTCAGGGGCATCGCAGCCTGTTCAGGTGAAATATTTCAGTTGAAAAGGGGTGTAGGGCTAGGAAAGAATATAGACATTGCGAAGTGTTGACCATGTGTACTATACCTATCAAGTTAAAACTAGACCTGAGACTTAATAGCAGATTGATCATAGCAAGCCTCAAGCTCCGATGTATCCATTCGTTGCATTGCAGCCCTCATGCCCTGCTGCTGCCAGGAAGTCGTGGCTGGTGCAGGGCGACGCTCCGAGCCCGGAACCTGAGCTTGGGTTTTCTTTTCAGGATAGCACAGGGTGATGGGATGGGCACTATAGCTAGTTTAAAGGTGTGTTGAACTTTGGGTCTCAGTTCCAAGCTTTAAATTAGTCACTGACACAGGTGAAGCAAACCATTATGTTACAGCGATCTGGCGCAGATAGGCCCCACATACTGCGGTTTTACATACCTGCACATCGGGGTCTCCAGGTCTATCCGAAGATCGTGCTTCAGCATATAGGCTTCATATGCTTGCATCGCACATATATGCTCACACAAGTTTGTAACATTAGACAGTGCTAAGTATAATGATGACCAGTTAATTAGTTATGCAGGTTGAGACACCTGCCGGATGCTAGCAGGCCCAGTTGGTATCTAGCTACACCACTCGGTACTCATTACGATACCTTTCCATCCAGTTTGTGGCAATTATAACCAGTATTTAACAACCTAGACCCGCAATAGCCTTAGATTTGATAACTTTGCACAGCAGTAGACTAACCAAGGATCTGCAATGGAGTCACAGGGGTTGCTTCCTGAATCCGGCTGATGTTTGGGTTGTTGAAGAAACATATCTATGTATACATTAGCTCTAGATCGTTAATTATTATCAATGGCTAAAACCTAGCCGAATAGAATGATGCATAGGGATTAAGGAGTCAATGATATCCGTGATTGCATTATATATATATACATATATACAGGCGTAATGGAAACTTGCCTATGGTCTCGATCACATCTGAGCCTTCGAACTACACTAGTGACAATGTCCGTTCTAGCGATAGCAGTGTGTAGCTAGGCAAATTTAGTTATTTACATGTTTAATGAATCTCTCGAGGGAGGGTGTTCCAATAACTATATATAGAACTCCCCGTATATACTGTGCAGTATAACGTCCAGGCCGAGCCGAATTCCTTAGTCAAACAATCACCCGGAACACACCTAACACCGCTCTTCCTAGCATGGAGCCCTATGGTACAGATGATGTGGCCCTAAGTTTTAGGGTGGGTTACAATTGTTATCAGGGCTTAACTTGAGGGATGTTATAATAGGCAGGTTATTATGGGATGCTTTGACACATGCAGCACAGGTACCGGCGAGGCAAGTGCCCTTGTGCTGGCAACCTCCGAAGCAGCAGGTGCAGCAACCTCGTGCATGTGCATGTTGAGCTGATTGTCCAGCTCCATACACAAAGCAGCCTCGTCATCTTCGGGCAGGCTACTGGTGGTAGTGCTCTTGTACTCGGACTCGGTATTCTCAAGAAGTTTCACTAACACCTCACTGAAGGTAGCAATATGCTCGTCCAGCTTCTTGCACACCTCCTGCCGACAGAGGTCCTTCTCATCAAGCTTCTGAGTAACCCAATTGTCGATCTGTTCAAACTTGCTTGTCAAAACCTCCGGAGTATGGTTCTTGTCTTTTTCCTTCTGTTTCTTGGTAGCACCCACTGATAGGATGATCCCGCTGTACCTCGAGAACTGGGCCTTGGCTTCCTCGTACTCACTCTGCAAGCTCAGCATGCAAAGACACGAGTCGTGAAGGGCCCTGGCTAATGCTCCGTGTGCAGAGTCCTGAGCCTCGAAAGCCCCATTGCACTTGGCAGCAACCATGCGAGTCCACTTGAGAACTTCGAAGGCCCTCCCCGAATCAGCAGCCTCATCACCGTTCCGGTAAACCCAAAGCTTGCCCGGGCTCTTCTGCATGTCGAGGCAGGTGCCCTGCTCTGGGATGTGCATCTCCAGGGCGCCTTGCGCTTGGAGAGTGTGTGCCATGTCCAACACGGGGTCTGTGAGCTTACCCGAAGCCAAAGCATCCTGAAAGTCCGACACCACAGAGTCCCCACGGAACAGGTTGATGGTGTCCTGTGTATCCACATGTCTTGGCTGACCTTGGGTGAGAGATATCTCGGTGCAATTGGAATTGCAGGAGGTTTCGAGATCGGGTATTATTGTACATTATGCAGTAGAGCTCGAGTTACATACCAAATAGGTTTACATTCGATCGGGTCTCTGGAACGAAGCTGTTGCAACATTGGTGCCATAAAAGAGAAGTGGAGACTATGAGAGAGAGAGAGAGACAGAGCAACAGAGAGAGAGAGAGAGAGAAAGCTTGGAGATTGGGGAGAGTGTGTGTATGTGTGGTGTAGGCTGACACATGTGTGTTTCCACAAGTACAGACATATATGTATGTATATACACATATATATATATATATATATATGTGTGTGTGTATGTCTATACATGTATAGGTGTGTACATGTCTGATTATATGCAACACCCAATATAGTGTATATACACATATACACACATGTATAACCTCACATATGCATATACACATAAGAAGGTCAACCTCATCGACAGAAGCCCTTACTATGCATATATATATATGTGTGTGTGCACAAGTCCAACCCTTAAACCCTCGGCAACCCCTTAAAGACTTTGAGAACCGTCACTACAGTAATTGAATTCACTCTCGGCATGGCACACTAGTAGGCTAGATAGGAATAGGATCCGGATGCTTTTGGACCATATGCAACAAGGTGACGTGCTTCTCCAGTGACGGCATCCGGATGCTTTGCAGGTGCATTGTTCTGCTTGGGACCAGGGGGAACAGGGGAGAGCTTTGTAGCTTCCTGGCCATTGCCTCGGGATTCCTTAGGCTCGGCCGACTTGGCCTCATCCACATTCTCGGGCTTCGTGTGAGGGGCTTCGTCATGCTTGGGAACACCAGGGGTCGAAGCAACAGGGGAGAGCTTGGTAGCTTCCTGGGACCCATTGCCTTGGGATTCCTTAGGCTTCGCAGACAAGTCCTGGGTCTTGGCACGGGGGTTGGAGTCAGGCCTTTCGTCATTCTCGGGAGCGTTGTTTGGGGCCGGGGATGCATGAGTTGCACTTGGCATTTGCGAAAAGTCGTGGCACTTAGCAGGCTTCTCGGGCTGCTGGTTGCCAAGGGTCTCCTCCAGCTGGGTCTCCTCGAGAGTATCCTGAGATCCGGCTTGGGTCGATTAGATGAGTAATTTTAAAGCAGGGCCAATAGAATTATTATACTTAGCTAGGATATAATATATATATATGTATATATATATATATACATATAGATGACGTATGTATATATATATATATATATATATATATATACATATACATACGTCATCTATATATGTACATATATACATACAAGTATACGAAAATTAATATATTCTAATTAGAGTAGAACAAGTCTCCATCGGATTGTCAGAGGTCTTAGCCTTCTTGTGGTACGGGCTCTTGATCGTAGGGGAAGCCAACAGAGCAGGAGAGGGATCACCAGCAGCTTTGGCAAACTCACCGGACAAGTCCTTCTTGGGGTTGCTAGCTAAAGGCGATGCACTCTTCTTCGGAGGAGGTGTGGACGTCCTCTTAGCCTGCACAGGTGCCTGGATCTCCTTCGCTCTAGCGCCTCGGCTGCCTGCTTTGGCACCTGCCCTGGGTTTGTTCTTCGGAGAGCTGGAGTCAGGAGCAGGGGCGGCATTCGTAGCAGTGGCACCCACAGCACTTTTCGAAGAAGTCGAAGGGATCGACCCAGCATCACCTAGCATATCATCGCACAACAGCACTTCGCACACTTACCAGCCGGCAGTTGGAAGACATGAATTCTCGATCCGTCTGCAACCTAGCGGCTCCCAATAGACTTTCTGCTGTTGACACGACGAAGTGCCTGGCTCATCTCGGCTTCCATATCAAAGCCATCCTCGGCAGTTGTGTGTTGGTGGCTTAGGGTACACAGCTGGGTTGTCTAGTACAATATGCTAACTAGCATAGGGGTCCAGTCTTGGCTAAACCAGTCCAGGGGCTGATTTTCCAGGTTTGCCTTTCTTGGTCTTCGTGGAATAAGGTGCTGATCGCTCTGCACCACGGGACATTGCGTAGACACGGCACCCTTCACACACACAGCCTAGAGAACCCAATGACACCAAAATGTGAAAACTGGTGGCCCCGGCAGCCCAGGCACTGGAATTGGCAACGTAGGGGTTTACGTAAAGGCTAGCCATACAGGATTTTTTTTTTCACATGGTTTCACATGGTTTTCACGCCCAGTTTTCTGTATTCGTGACCTTTCGGCCCGTTTTCACGCCCTTTCACGCTATTTTCACATCTGTACCCTGCGGCAACCTACGGCTCTGCTGGGGGCCCAAACCCTCAAGAGCCGGCTTTACGTAAGTACACAGTCTTCACGTAGGTTGACGTCACTGGGGGGAGCATGCACGACTAGTGAATTGGACCGTAAAAGGAACCCATGCCAGTATTCACATTATGTGACTCACTGTATTAGCTAGAAAGTTGCACATTCAGACAGGAACCTACAAAGCAAACCCATCACTCAAGCAGATCCTGCTGTAGTTCGCACATATTATATCCATTGAAACATATCACAACCCTTGACTGATTGATGCGAGCACAACTTTGGTTCGTTCCTGATCGGAGGCTTCGATCACACTGCTTTCCAAGCTGCTGCAGATGGTGCACAAGGCAGGCCGAACAGGAAATGTCACAACTATGTGTCGTGACACGCAGACAGAAGTAGCTGGCATTTTGAAGCACAGCCCTTACCTTTCTTATTATACACATAGTCAACTACGATAAACAGTGAAAACCTGCTCATCGGTGTGACATCGTTCCCTGCATATGTATTTACACGGCTTATAATTATATTATTATCTTCAGGATATCTAGTATTTGGTTCTGGATACTCTGGCAGCTAGCTTACCAGACACTGTTGAGAGCAGGCGAGTCACATGGCTAGGTCAAACACATGCTAGCTGCTAGATCATACTTGTAGTGGGTTCATTCATACTACATCCCAAACCTTCTGTCTCTCTGTCCTAGGGACTTAGAGTTTATACTGCGAGATAGCACAGGGAGAGAGAGAGAGAGAGAGAGAGAGAGAGAGAGAGAGAGAGAGAGAGAGAGAGAGAGAGAGAGAGAGAGAGAGAGAGAGAGAGAGAGAGAGAGAGAGAGAGAGAGAGAGAGAGAGAGAGAGAGAGAGGAGAGAGAGAAAGAGAGAGAGAGAGAGAGAGAGAGAGAGAGACAGAGAGACAGAGAGACAGAGAGAGAGAGGCAGTCACAAATAGATTGCCTGGCTATGATCTGACCTGCAGAGCTAGAGATTGGGTCTGTTCTTATGATCTATGATCATGAGACTGCACACACCTGCAACAGCTCTGTGGACTAATTGGCAAAGTCGAATTTGCCGCAACACTTCAGAGGCAGGCTTGGTAATTGTGGGGAATGCAGTGGCATGTATCCCGTAGCTAGCACCGGCTATTTTGCAATGACATAAGACTTGCCCCAAAGGCGATATAACAAGAAAGCATGGGTTTACATAATTGTACAACAAGTTGATGACACATCTCTGTAATGTGGGTGCCTAGCTCATGTGGTGCCGGGCAGCAGAAACAGCTTGTACTCCCAGTGGGGTGCAAGTACATTGGAAACTATCACAGGCCTCTAGACCCCATAAGAATTAGTGAGTACCTGTCCTATATAGAACCGAACCGGAATCATGACTTTGATCATGGAGGGCCCACCTCTCCAATCAGCTAGCACCCAATACATACCCAGCTTTAGATCCTTACACCCCACAAGCTGGGAACACTCGCACATCAAGGCCAATCTTACCTCGAGTCCGGAGCCCATCCGTGTAAAATGACACGGCAGAACGGGAGGATCTGGAGGATTGCTGAGGTAGGGGCATTCGATTCAGGTATTGGGTGCCTTTATCACCAAAGCAACTACACAGCCCTATTAGCGAGTATTCACAGCTTTGCTACATTCGGGTGGCATCTACATAGGTATCTTTGACCCGAGATCTAGAAGGCTTTGCCTCATGAACGTCTAGATGTACATCTAGAGTGCACTATGGCTACAGCCAGTCAGGTTTACAACTATCATATCGGAGCTTGGCTGGGCATTATTCCAGGTAGTCTCAACAATGTATACAGGTCTGCCATAGTCCGGTCGACTAATGTACACAAATGACACAAAGTGTAGTAACCTATATGCAGTGCACGACTTCCAGATGACTATGGCAGCTATTGTAACTGCATCTCAGCAGCATCTAGCCTAACTATCCCCACGAACCTCTGGACTCCGATCCCTACTTCTGAGTCCGAACTTCGAACTGTCCTTGCTTGGGCTTCTAGCTATATACATAGGATTTAAGGTTTAGGGTTCAAGGTTTAATTATACTAATTATTAATTAATATTATTTCAACCTAGAACAATGCTAACCCTGCAGACCCTGCATACCCAAACAACTACTAATCTTGTACAGCATGTATGTATATGTATTCATGTACCTATATATATATATGTATATATATATATATATACGAGCGAGTCTGCATTATAGTAAGGCTAAATATACAAGTACTAGTATAACCGCCCCGACCCGATTCGCCTATTGACATCTATGCGCCCTTGCAGCAAGACAGCCCCACAGATCCAAGGCCCAGCTAGATGCAGCACACTGGAGCACTAAACCTTCGTAGGCATGGACCTGGAACGTACAGAATACACCTCTTACATAGAACAGTTCAACCCCTGCTAGACAAAGGCACGATAAAAGCTAACACCAGCCAGGCAGTATTCTACCACACTCTACTCGAACTAAAACAAGCTCCCGTTTACTGCTGACCTGAGCCCTCCTGCACTGAGGCATGCATCCCACACGGCATTGTCAAGGAGGCAGCTCTGGATTGGAAGGCATCTATCACAGCATTGGTCGGGTATAACTGCAGACCCCTAGACATGATCAGACACTAAAGACATGATCCTTCCCCCCTGCAATCTTCGCATCGGGATGCTTATAGGGGATGCAATGCAAATTGCAAAACTCCTCAAAAACTTCTTGACTTCCAGACAGTGCAAAAGGGAGGTCACCATTGGGATGGAAGTCCCCTTCAGAGATGGCCTCCTCCAAGAAGGTCTTTATGACATCGAGGCCCGCGTGGCTCCAATCTCCACCAGGATCCTGAAGCTCATGATCACAGGGAGGCGTACCTAAACTGTAATTAACATGTGTCACGTGTGTTTGCTAGCTTGCCACGTGGCCTGGTACCCGAATTGCAAGAGAGCAGAGAGGTCAGGCATATCCGGATCAGTAGCCTTAACTTGCAGTTGCTACTTTGGGAAGGAGCAGTGTGATTAGAACCTTGTTCAGGGCCCCACCAGCCACTCGTTGTGAAGGGCACATACCCTCTTCCCGAAGTCGGCAGGATAGGCACTGGAGGCTGTCAGGTCTTTGCCACCTGTCCTTACACCAGCATACTTGCAAGACTGCAACGACATTGTGATCGCAAGCAACCCCTCTGGTGAATCCTGAGGACACTACACCTTCCGTTGGCCCTCAATGAAATTGACCTTCACCATCTCAATATCCCGCTTCCGTTTTTTCAAGGCCGCTTTGACCTGCGGGGTGAGCTTCTCGTACAGCTTCCAAAGCCAGGGCCTTGGAAAGGAGTCGTAACTTTGGCACATTCTATAGAACTATGTAGTGAGTCCATGTTTACAGAGGGTAGGTAGTAGATCAGCACCTAGTATGATCAGGTGCTGCACATGTGTTGTGAGGATAGTTCATGAGGAGTTAGAGGTGTTGATTCGTAATCCACTTTTTGTGCAAATGATCTATATGTTGTGAGAATAAGTGTGTACATATGTATATATAAACACATACAGACATACATACATGCATACATCATTATACTTAGCAGCATACACATAACACAAGCACAGTATGCGGCCGATTGCAGTAGCACCTGAAAGAGATGATCAGGTATTGGGATTGGTGTGTCTCGCACATGTTTATGTGCACATATGCAAGTATGAGTCTTACACGAATTCTATGTGTGTATGGATGTAGCAACACTTGAGTGTGGATAATATGTCTATATATAAATATATGTATGTGTGTATATACATCATAACACACACATATGTGATGAAGACTTCGACATCATAGAACATAGTAACTATATGTACACGTGTGCATGTCATGCATTATAATATATAATGTTATAATGTAATTTAATACTTACAAACAGTTCCTTCGATGTACACAGCATATATGCTGAAGTACCCAGCTGCATATGTTTCCCAGCTTGTGCTGGCTCTGTACATATTAATATAGTTTAGGGTTTATTAGATAGCACAGGGCTGTTATAGGGATTACAATCATATGTAAGGTTCTTAGGGTATACAGAAATCCTAATGGTCCCTGATGCAATGTCGGATTAGCCTAGAATTCACTGCCTACAGGGAGACATCTCACTCATTTGGGGGAGGACTGGTAGATATTTTTACAGGATTCGAATTTAGTCAACCCATATTACAATCTAGATGTGAGCCGGGGTGCACATTCCCCAGTCCCAACTCGGGCTTCTCCGAGGTGTGCCCATAGGAGCCCATCCACCTCGGCATGACATAAGTAGTGATTCGAAGACCAGGAGAATCCGACACTGAGAACACAAATCAGTAGCAATAATACAAATGAGGCCACCACCAGAACACTTGCGCATGTGTAAAGAGAGGCAGCCCCATAAACCGCTTCAAATACGGAAACCATGGAACTTTGGATTGCGAAGGATTCTCGAGGGCCCAACAAGCAGACCTGATCAGTGCGACCAAAAACAGAAGACACGTTCGACTCGCCAGAAGGTTTCCGACCACAACGCACGGAACATTGGCACCGAAAGGGGATGTAGCGGATCGACAGTGCACGGACTGGCTCATGAAGCCGAATGTATTGCACGGCAATCCAGCGAATAGTAATCCGCCGGGTTGTAGCCGTAATACCAACGCCAAAGCCCGCAAAAAGCCTTGCGTATTTCCCAAATCTTCGAGAACCTCGTCCCTTCCGCGATCGTAGCCTTGCCTTGGGTGTCGTGTAGGAAAGAATGCTGCACTAGCTGATTTCGGATTTCATCCTATGCAGCCACAGTGCGCCCTGCAGCCCGACTTTTTGAAAGCCTTGACAATGCTGGCAACCCCACAAAACATCTCCACAGCTTCCAGGTCCTTAGTCTGTACTCGGCCCAGAACCATAAATAACATCATGATCAAACTCTCATTTGCAAGATGAAGCCAAACCCGTACACAAATCTAGCCTGGAGTCCCTGCTTCGCTTGATGCCAGCTCTGTCCAGATACTCTGTCATGTAGTCGACAAGATGAATCCTTGCATGCATATGTAGCCATGTACATGTACATGCTCTACACAGCTCTCTGATGCAGCATGTGTACATGTGGTCTACAACTGCGTACATGGCACACAATGGGCGGCACACCAAGGCATAGCAGCGCTGCAGCTTGCAGTTTGGATACCTTCAGGCTCCTTCGAGCTCTCAACTCAGAGAGCTTCATGGCGACCACTGAGTGAGTTCCGGTGCCTCTAAAACATATGCATGACATAGCTACCCGCACTACATGCATGGAGCTACGTACTAGATGGATCTGCAGCAGGATCATATTCTAGTTGTGGCGACATGATCGTTTGCTTCTGTCCGCCATGCACAGGAGTCGACCCAGCCACTGTTCATGAGCCGATGACTAATGCAGCACACTGAACAACATGTCCAGCAAGCTCTGTGCAACATGACAACCAGCCCACTGCAAAGCATGAAGTCATGTGTCACAGCATGGCTTCTGAAGCTACAACTGCAATGTAGGTTTCAACATGCCGCACATGCACATGAAGCTAGCACTGCATGCAGAGGTTGGGAGCACCTCGGTGTGGGCGCTCTCCATTGGCCCTCGTTCCAGGTGAAGGCTTCTCAGCTGCTGCCACACCTTCGGGGGAAGAGGGGAGTTGCACTCTGCTCTAACATGCACACAACGATTTCATCTCCACAAGCAGCCCATGCGAATCAGTGCACTTCAACTGTACATGAGCTCTGGTGTTGACTCCTTTTTTATGCTTTCCCGGATCACCCTCGAACCGCAGCTCTACGGCTGGGCAAGGTCTTGCGGCTGCACCCTGCAAGCATTTATATGATCCCAGGCTTAAATAAATGTACACAGCCCTGATTAGAACATTTCCGATTAGTCTTACATGCAGACTGTGTCATCAGTGTATGCGAATTATTGCTCTAGGTAGCTCGGTGCCTGTCAAGGTTCGGGGCCACATCCTACAGATGCATGAAGCACTGAAAGCATCCACACCAGTTGCTACACAGCTGTCCTTGATGAACCCGCATAGGTAGCATTACATATCTTTATGTGGAGATGATGATGTACACAGACCGCGATTGTTCGGGGTTTAGGGCTTATTAGGGTTTAGGGTTTATAATAAGGGTTACAGGCTACAGGAGGAACCCACACAGATGCAGACTTGTAGCATGCGTGTGCACTAAACCGGTGCAGATGCTTTAATGGCTATGTCAAATCGGTTTTGAAGCTCAGAGCTCATGATCATCCACAGGCTGGCAGCATTTGCAACCGTGGCCAGCTGACTGCCGCACAGGTGCCTATTATATAGCCCATGGCATCGGAGCTACAAGTATAGGTGTTTGCCACATTGCAGGATAATAATTAATCACTAACTTATTCTATGTTGGTGCATAGCTAGCTATATAGATTTAAGCAATATCTAGCAATAGGTACTACTATCCTATTCTAAGGTATTGAAACTCCCGGAGGTTGGACAACAGTTTTCTTAGATTAAATCAGTGCAGTAGAACCAGCAACCTCGGCAGTGGGTCTTTCACATGAGCCCTGGCCCGTGGCATCTAAATGCAAATGAATTGCCTGGCAAACCCCAGGCTTCAAGGGGGTGGGCCGGCACAAATCCGCGGCTTTCAGCACTTCGTCCCTGCTGCCATCATGGCTTTGCCTTGGGTTTTACTTACATGGGATTGAGAACACAAGTAATGCACTGATGCTGTACTCATGGTATTCCGAATCCGGTTGCAATCTTGATCCATGCAGCCATCGACTGCGCATGCCGCCACCTAGATTGCAGGATCTTGTAATACCACATTACATACATGTGAACATGCACACACTCCCAACTCACAATCACCACCGAGACACGCAGCCTGAACACCACCATCAAAGTGATGCCATGGCACCGTTGCCCCACCTTTTCCATCCATTGTGATGAAGCCTGGCACCTCCTGCAAAACCTGGTTGACATAGAATGACTCTGCACGCAAGATGACTTGGATGCCACTTGTAGAGGAAGAGCCCTTCTTCTCCTTCTTCCCGCTCATGTACACAGTAAAGCTCCTGAGATACCCCGTAATGAGAGAGGATAACAAACATGTACATTGTTGTTTGCCTGACTGAATACCCCTCTAATGCAAGCGGAGGTTCTGCTTCTTCATCTCTTCGGGAAGCTGGAGGCCCGGGAGATCTTCTTTCTTCAGGGTCTCGAAAATGATCTGAGCCTTCTCGAGCCTCTTGCTGATGGCCTGGGCCTTCTTTGGGGAGACTCTTGCCTTGGAATTCTTGGGGGATGCCTTCGCCTTAGCCTTTGGGGCTGCATCCTTATCAGCCTCACCACCCTTCTTCATCAGCTTGTTCAATCGTGTGTTGCGCTTTTGCACTGGGGGCTTAGGCTCATGAGCCTCCACACCATCATCATCATCATCACGATCCTCCTTGGCTGGTGCATCCTGCTCGCCATTCGTGATCTTGAAACCACGCCGACCACCAGTCCGCTTCCTTTTCTGGATGCGGCCCTCTTCGGCAGCTGCAGCAGCCTTGTTTAAGATGCATATAGCGGTGCAAATAAAATGCAGACCTTCGTAGGTACAATTCGCAAGCATGGGTCCTCTCGGATACGAGTACGAACAACATCTTGTGCAGCCGTGATGTGGTCATAGCGCTTGTGGGTACCACTTGCATCCATGAAATCCGGGGGGGGAGCTTCTCTGCACCGTATCAATGGTTCCCGATCCTGATATCGACTAAGCTCCAAATGCCCGAAACTGACACACAATCCAGTGCAATTCAGGCTAGACTCTCTGGCTGCAAACGACGTGTCATCATGACCAGGCTGCGGGTCCGCTTGGCTGCCCGGGACTTTGGCAGGCTCCGGATCCTCATGAAGATCTTTCAGCACTGCCTTGGGTGAAGCATTAGGGCCGATGTCTGTTTTTATATGACAAAATCCCGGGCCAGTGCATCTGTTGTTAATTCGGTATATCTGTTGTGTATGTACTAATGTAGGGGTTCTTGTATAGCTATTCGAACTAGCAGTTGTATACAGCAGACACATGCATTGTACAACACATAATTCTATTATACCGCTACATACGTTCCCCGAAGCTGTGTATGCTAAAGTAGTCATGAACTATAGGACCACTTTCCGATTGCACCCGATTGGGGCCTACCCCCCAGCCACTTCCTTATACCAGTAGCTTCCGGATGACAAATGCCATAACAACCTTTGCCAGCTCTGGAATCATTGCTCCATGTATTGACCCACTATCTCCTGCAACTCTCGCCTTCTCTCTCTCTCTCTCTCTCTCTCTCTCTCTCTCTCTCTCTATCTCCCCTCCACCCCTGCCATAGATTTATTTCGCAACTTAGCACTCTGAAGGCGAGATACCTCCTCCTGGGGTGAGTAGCCCAGAAGTCGGGCCCCTCGGTGCCTAACCCCCTTCGGGGAAAGCATCTCCGCAAGCTTGTCGGCTTCCTGCAGGGACTCATCGGGCTCCTCATGATCATCCTGGTCGTCGGCCGGAGCTGCAGCATCCTGGGATTGGAGTGCTAAAAAAGTCCGAGACTGCTGGAATCGAAGCCAGGCATAGGATCGGGCTTTGTGTTGAGTATTGTCGCTGCAATTGCACCAGAAATATGTGTAACCGGTACTTGTAAAGATCTAGATGTACATAGCACGATAGGCTCCACTGACTCTCATCAATCCGCTTAAATGTGAATTGTTCGTATGAAGGCAAGCTTCCGAAGGACTGCTCATGTCCGAAACCTTGAGCCTCCACATGCGCTTCAGCACGTCCACCCGTGGGAGCCTGCCAGGCAACATGAATCGAAACACTTGGGTGATCGCATCCAAAGGATACATAATAAATACTTCGACATTGGACAGGTCTACATTGTACATCCTAGATGATTCGAGTGAGTTATGTTGGTTCAAGTGTACTTACCATTATCTTGCTAAACTCTGTCAAACTTGATAGACCTACAATTGCAATGGGTGAGAGGTTGTGTGAACCCTCCGGAAAGAAATCCAGGCTCAATAACCCAATCTATGTATTACCTGTGCAAGACCCTGGCCCCAGACACCACTACATCAGGTAAGTATCTTCAGTACCCACATAACATGATCAGGTCTAGCTTCAACCCAACTATTAACTTGATCCATGTGCAGCAGATTATACATTGCTATATGAATGTGTATATACATATACATATATACAGGAAGTAAAATATCTATCTATTGTTAGGCACACACAGCTGCAATACATCCGTGCACATGGTTTTATTAGTATTGCCACAATTAAAAGATTGGAAGTACAATATTCCGTTTTCATGATATGATATATTCTTTTTCCTACTGCACATGCATACATGGAGCCGAACGAAGAAGCTGCCCACAACAGTGTGAGACATGCTGCATCGATACATGTATCGGGATCTTAATTAAAGGCCGGCCACATGTCATTATAGACTGTGTATCTGTGTATACATATATATGTATGCAATATATATGTACATTTATGTATGTCTATATATATATATATATATAGTATACAAGTATATGTAGATATATTATATATACTATGTACATACATAAGTGTCGTCTATCTAGATCTCCACATGCACCTCAAACACCCATGTTAATGACATGCGCTGATAATCATGATGCTACAACCCCCCAGCCCCGGGATCCTGGCACTGTCCGACTTCTTCAAGATCTTTGTCAGGTGGGTCAGCATGCTCCGGAAGCGGGCGCCCTCCACTCGTCCCCATTCCTCGGCATAGGATCGGACATTATACACTGACCTAAATAGGCAATATACAAGATACTCTTCCCGAAACCCTGTCATGCAACTGCAAAGGATGCCAACGAGTCTCGCGAATCTTGCCTTTACCTCCACGCATGTGGTAAACGCATTCCCCATGAACGTTCAGGGAAATGCTAAGGCATAGGAAAGCGGTTTCAAAAACTCCAAGAGCTGGAATTGCCGGCGCCATTTCCAGAATATATTCCTTGACCAAGGTGTAGTTCGCCTCCAAATCTTGGTTGTACACCTGGGATGCGGACTTGTATGTACATGTTTATGGAATAAAACCATGATTAGTATGTACATATATGTGTATACTCATACAAACACTCACTTGCTTTCCCTCTCCCTCTCAAGCCACATGTACATATATATATATATATACATATGTGGATACATACACATGTATCCAGATGTAAATACAAAGTTGTCTACACGATTGCTTGCGCCATGACCCAACTGCAGACTGAGCTCCGAAATTATTTGCAAAGAAGCGGCTGAAGCCTTCTCCCGGGGGGCCCATTCCACAAAGGCCCGCTCCTTGCACCACTGACCCCATGATGTGATGAATAAACCCTGCTGTGCATGAGCTTAATCCTGAACTATGTGCTATAAAGTGACCAAGGGGGTGGGCACACTCATAATCTCGGACAGCTGAGATTTCAGGATCGGGAACAGTGCATCGTGGATGAGGTCGGCTTCGGCCTTGCATGCATACAACTGCTCAGGATCGATTCGATCATCATGAGTTCGTGCAAGTCTACACCCTCCCCATCTGATCAGTGCCATACAAGGCACTGACACATGAATCGTCATGGGGACCGTCAGTGTCCTCCACTGGGCCTTTTGCTCAGCCATTGCCCCGGGTGGAGCACACTCCACAAAATCTCACACAGTTGAGCAATCAAAATCTGCACAGGGACATGTGCGGTCAGTGGCCATGCTGCACAAGATTGCACACAACTCACACAGCGCAGAGTGCATGCATGCAGGGGGGTGGGCAGACCTTGTGGCCTCTTCTGCCCCAGATATGCCGCTTGGCGCAGGATACCCATGGGAGCATACGTACTACACAGAACCACTTTAAGCTTTGCTGGACGATAGCCCAAGTCACAGTGCCCACAGCACACAAGCTATACAGATGACCTTCTCATATCTACATATATGTATGTCATTATGCACATGGCATGGACATCTCCGCCCAGGAAAAGTGCACACAGCTTAATCGGAACAGTACTTTTAGGTATCCTGCACACGAACTACATGTAGTATTGTAGGTGTACGTATGCATACATACCCCAATGTTGTATATTCCAAATTCGCGATGCATGACCTGTGGCCCCCATGTCAAAGGACCTGCGCACAGCGGATTCGCCAAAGTCCTGCCAAACCCAATGCAACCCTCCTATCCCGGCCCAACCCTCCTATCCCGGCCCAGCAAACACCCCAGAAATTAGTATTCAAGACCTTTGGGGAAAGGACCTAAATACAGAAGGATGCTGGAAAGACCCTCGTCCAGAAGCGATTTCCAAAGTATATGATTATCGGGTCCTCGGACCCTTAGGGTAAGTCCCCCGACCCTCCAAGTAGAGGACTGCTGTCACCTTGCGGGTCTTACGGGGCTGCTGATTCCGTTCTATAGCTCCAGTAGTGCCGCTTCCAGAGCGTTCCTTCAGGGTTTAGGGTCAACTTCCCAACCCTGTTCCGAAGCTCAAAGGAACTCAACTACGCAAGAAGCTTGGCTTGCTTGATGTGGGTGTAGTGATGTCCCATGAGCTTTGACAGGGGCAGATTGCGCTGATACACGCATGGCATCTGTCTGGGTTGATTTCGGGATTCGCGGTCTGTGGTCACCGTGCAGCTGCGCCAGTATATGGGAGTTTCCGAAATAGGGGACCCTAATGTAGTACCTTACATAGTAGGATCATTATTCTAAGGACCCCCACAAAAGGTATCCCTAATTTCTGGAAACTCCCACATCATGCAGCAGTGTAAAGCACCTTGGACATAGATTTGCTTGGCATTGCGACGAGCAGACGATTCTAAGCAACTACAAGTACGGGCTCGAATGCATGCGAGAAGCCATGCATGGCATATGGTTCAGTTCATTATAAGCACGCTTTTAGGGCTGGAGGGATACATAAGGTTGGTAATATGCACTTATATGAAAACACAGAGGTCTTTATGTTTATATATGTATATATACATATGCCTATACAATATATCTCGAGTTTCGCAGTATCAAGCCCGAGGCCCTGAAAGTGCGAAGCTCGATCATAGATAAAGTGCGAGCCTGTCTTCGGACCCCTTGTCGATATGTACTTACATTGTAGCAAAACTAACATAGTAAAGTACATGTCGATACGTTGCGTGCATTGATATATGTATAGTGCACTGAAAATGATGTGACGACAAACAAGACTGTATAGATCAATATAACATAAGAGTATGTCATGGTTTGGTTGGTTTATACTTTCCTATTGCATTGTAACACATTGTATGATTGTACATATAGTAAAATGCAGTCTAAAGTAGTTGGATATCCGGTGAGCCAAAATTAAGATATACTGTCATACTGTAGTACATTAGGACATAGTATATTTGTAGCATATGACGCAACAAGATACAATATGACATAGGATAGTTTAACGGATCATAGCAAGGCATAGTGCATAGCGTAGTATAACATCACAATTTCGTCTGCTGTAATACGCCGAAAAACATGACCTTTATACCTGTTGTAGCATGGTGTTTTATGTGTATGCATTCACAGACGTGTAATTATATATGTATACATATACATACATATATATATATGTATATACACATAACTGCACATAAAGTGTGTGTATATACACAGGTGCATATTCATATCTGCGTGTATACGCATCTGTGCAGATCTTTGCATCAGTCTTTAGAGAAATGGTTCAGCTCTTCGGCGCCTCAAGGGAACCCGTCGCCCCACCGATGCTGCTGAACCAGATGAGGAGGAGCCAGTTGGCGCCGAATTCGGCCTATAACTACAACATTTTAGGGCCCAAACCCTAAACCCTAAAACCCTATAAACCCTAAACCCTAAACCCTAAGCCCTAAGGTTTACCGTTTGGGGACCAAGGGTTCAAGTTCAGGGTTTACGCTTTTGGGGTTCAGGGCTCGGTGTTAGAAATTCAAGGGGAATGCAGGAACCTGGTCAAGAAACCCTCGGCCTATAACCCCCAAACTAGTAGGATTCATTTCAGGAACCCTTTTGCAGACCCAGGGTTTCTTGATCAGGTTCCTACGGTCCCTAAGACTCCATGTACCCATATAGGAAGTACTTAGGCCTTAAAGGGTCCCTATATGGGAACTTTAAGGCCTATAAGTACCTAGTATATGGGAGTTTCCGAAAATAGGGGACTCTATAATATAGTACCCTAAATATTCGGATCCTTACTATAAGGACCCCAAAATAAGGTACATGGAGCCTTTGTAGGGTTGTGAGCCGGCGGGTCCGAAACCTTCGCAAAGGCTTTGGGCTCTTGGAAGCTTAGGGCCGGACTCGCTTCCGGTACTCCTACAGGGGACCCTGTTTTCCCCAAAGGCCCCAAAGTAGTTCCTTTTTGTGGTTCGTATGTAAAATCCTCTAAGGCAATCCCAAAAAGGAACTATATACTATGGGGCCTATGGGTAGAGCCCTGTCGTACCGTTCAGAGGACCCTTCAAAGGAGCCCTTGAAAGAAGTCCCCTTAATTAGCTCAGAAGTCGCCGGCAGACCTTCCAGCAAGCAGGGAATAATGGCGGGAGGAACAGCATCCCTGGGATATTCCTTGTGGCATCATAGTTCAGAAATAGATCGATGTATATGCACACGTACTGCGAAGGCCTTTGGCTGAAGGAAGGAGTTGGATGTTTGCGTTGTAGACTGGGTGCTCAGCTGCAAGCATACGCCCCTAACAATCTTACTCCCAGGGCTAGGGTTATGGGTTCAGGGAACTCCACTAAGTAAGTGCCTTTAACTGGGGATACAACCTATTATAAGTAAAGTTACCTTTTTTATAACCCTAGTTCCTAAGTACCATGAACCTCTAAGTAGACCCGAAACCCTATAGATCCCATTAAGGAACTCTATAGCTCCCTTTAAGGAGCCCTAGTTACTAAGTACCATGAACCTCTAAGTAAGGCCACACGGGGAAGTTCAGGTCTCGGCTGCAACGCTTCGTGGTCGGTCCAGAGAGTCACTTGCAGTTGGTGTGGGCGACTTTTTCAGCCCTCTTTATTGCACCTTGTCTGAAGCCGTAGGGCTCTGGGCTTCTGGGACAGCTGTTTAAGGCTTGGCTGCTTTATGCCTCACAGCTTCAGCTTTGCTTCTAGCAGGTCCTGCTTAGATTTCTTTTGCCTTGGCATTGCTCCAGTGACACGGCTGACTTGTTTCGTGCATGACCTTGTTTCAAAGTGTTCACCGTCTTTTTCTATCTTCCATTAGCATTCCTAGGATCTTAGACACAGAGTGCCAGATGTGCTGTACTGGTCGAAGGCATGATCCCCTGTTTGTGAAGGCGTCCGTTTTCTGCACATATGTCAGTTTTCCGTTTCGTTCTTTGCTGTGCGGATGTGTCTACCATGAAGCCATTGGCATGTGCTGTGAGTTCTGGTTTTCTGAAGCACAGGTTTCATCTAGCGCTGCCTCTTGTTAGTGATGTTTTTCCTGCATATGCACACATTGTGCGACTGGTGCGGTGACAAGACCATAAGACTTCTTGCTAAGAACATGCTCGCACTGTTTGGATGAGTTCGGTGCTAGTGTCTCTACGTGTCCAGCACTTGTTCACGGAACCTGTCGTAGCAGCACACCAACCGTTCCAGCTTCAAGCGGCGTGCTCCGGGCATATGCCGTGCTGCATCATCAAGAGTGACATCTTCAACGTGTTTACGAGTCTACGAGAGTATGTTTATGTGCGCGTCCTTCATAATTCGCTTCTTCATCGCAGTACTAGTACCTTTGTTTTCAATGTCTGCAGGCTGGCCTGCAAGGTATAAGCCAGTATAAGCTGTAATCATCGTTTCAACTACAGTGTAGACTCTCGCAGAACCCCTCAAAACCCGCTGCAATTCCATAGAGTCCTATAGAAGAGTATAGAAGCCCATGAAATCCTTTACCCTCTTGAGAAGCAGAGTGGCCATTACTGAAGCAATGAACCGGAAGGCACAATCACTAGGGACCCCTACAGCCTCTTTCCAAGACCCTAAACTCTCAGCAATACTATTCTGGGGCTCCTGACCAAAATTTTAGTATAATATAACCCAAAGCCTGTTCTAATCTTTAAGGCCTCTATGTTATAGAACTTTGCGAAAATCCCTTATAGAACCCTTTCCATGATCCCTTTATTCTAACGTTTAAGGCCACTACATTAGAGCCCTGCTATAGAGCCCTTTAAGGATCCCTCTGTTCTAATGTTCAAGGCCCCCTATATCATAGAACCCTCATAACCCTTCTGGTAGCCCCCAAAAAGACCCCTATAAAGGATCCTTATTCTAATTATTAAGGCCCCCTTTTTTTCTAGAGCCAGCCGGGGAGGTCTGGGATCTCGTCACACTTCCGCTGCTGTTTTTCGACCTCGGAGCGCCCCGGTGTAGCAAAGACCGGACGACTTCCTTTTTCTGCAGAGGCTAGAGCTTTAGATCTTTAGGGTTTAGGGTTTAGATCTTTAGAGCTTTAGGGTTCAGGGCTTTAGGGTTTAGGGCTGTAGGGTTTAGGGCTTTAGGGCTTCAGGCTTTAGGGTTTAGAGCTTTAGGGCTTTAGGCTTTAGGGTTTAGAGCTTTAGGGTTCGGGGCTTTAGGGTTTAGAGCTTTAGAGGTTTAGGGCTTTAGGCTTTAGGGTTTAGAGCTTTAGGGCTTTAGGGCTTTAGGGTTCAGGGCTTTAGGGTTCAGGGCTTTAGGGTTCAGAGCTTTAGGGCTTTAGGCTTTAGGGTTTAGACCTTTAGGGTTCAGGGCTTCGGGGTTTAGGGTAGAGCTTTAGGGTTTAGGGCTTTAGGCTTTAGGGCTTCGGGCTTTAGGGCGTTTAGGGGCTTAGGTCTTCAGTTTTTAAACTTGAGCATTGTTTCTGGTCTTGTAAGACATTCGGCTAGGTGGTATGTAGCCGCTTTTTGCTTGTATCTGTGGGGGGGGTGACGTCGTAAGGCTTCCAGAGCTCTCGTGTTCCAGGGGCTGTAGGATTTAGCTGCGAATTGGCTTCAGGATTCATGCTTTAGGCCTAGAGTTTGGGGGTCCAGGGTTGCGGGCGGGCAGTAGATTTGTGGTGGGGTTTAGGGTTTAGGGTTTAGGGTTTTAGGATTTCCTGACGCTTGCAAGAACAACTCCAGCCAAGGAATTCGCCCAGCACTTGGAGTACATCGCACTGGCGACATTGGCCGCTCAATTTGTTCGCGTACGGCTTTTCAGTCAGAGTGGCTTTGTTCGTTTTCCAGTCAAAGGTCTTGGAAGTCAGACCAAAAGCAAGGTCAGCGGAGGTACACCAATCTAGCTGCTATGTGGGCACCTGGGACCAAGCCCAGGGGGACAAGAAACGAGCTACGGCAATTGAAGCTATTTTTCATCGCCTGAAATTGGCGCAGCGATGATTCTTCTAGAAACCAAGGGGCCCTTGTATCATGTAGAAGCCCATATGGTAAAGTAAGATCCATATAAATGCCCCACATAGGATACCTCTATCTCTTGAAACGCACAGAAAAGGCCTTCTGGCTGTTGGACATGCCCATGCACATGTTCTTCGCAGTCGCCACAACAGCGGGCATGGTGGATACTTTCGCTGCAACTGATTTTGACTTGTCCAACAGCGCACGCTGGAATATCTTCTTGTGCCTAGCATAAGCCCTACCTGCTCCCCAAAAGTATGTATCTAAATAGCCTTTGACAGATGTTGGGCCATTTTATTTTATTTACCTTTGGGGATTGAGGTAGATTCAAAAGCCTTACCTGGATCTTAAAAGTATGTAGAACAATGGCCTTTTATAGGTTTTGGGCCATTATCTTACCTACCTTGGGGGGTCTAGGTACAAAGTCAAAGCCAGAAAGTTGGAATATGATTATCCTAAACCCTTTATGGTAAAATATAAGGAATCCCCTGAAACCATATTCCAACTTTCTGGAGTTCCCTGTAAATGTAAACTGCAATAGGAACACGGACCACATCCACAGCGACTGAAGGGTTCGCCGTGCATGCCTTTTTGTGTGCCCTGGGATCTTGAACGGTGATACTTGGAGGGTCGGGAGATTTAGTAACTGGTTATTTTGGGGACTTATAAGTACCATAACCCCAATTAGGGTCCCTTTTAGGGTACTTATAAGTCCACTTACTAACTACTTACTAAGTCCCCCGACCCCCCCCCCCCGGCAGGCCCGACCCCAAAGGAAAGGTGGAGCAGAGGTTCGGAGGCCAATGCTACCGGAGCCAAAGCCAGAAGGGTTTACGGTTTGGGGTTCAGGGATTTCGGTTTAGGGTTGAGGGTTGAATTTGTATGGATTGAGATTTAGGGCGTTAAGGGGCTTAAGGTTTTGGATGTTGGGTTCAGGATTCAGAGATTGAAACCACATGCTGGTAAAGAACTGGCACCTCTTTTGAGGAAGGCTCCATTTGTCTATGGAGGGTTTTGCAGGGGGACAGTTTTTGTTTGTCTTGGTCTGGGTAATAGTAAATTAGGGTTTATAGGGTTGAAGGTACCGAGGGGCCTTGAGAAGTGTCGCTAGCATTCCTTACGGCTCATTGATATGACTATGCCAAGATCAGCCGCTACTGCACACTGTCAGCATGTAGAGCTACCGCTCCGTCCTAGCTCAATTTGGGGTTCCGTTCGGCTGACTTTTAAAGCCACTGGGACCCCTGTCAAGGAGGCTTTGTCAGCCCTGGAGTTAGATTTGGAAGGATTGGACTGTTGCCCAAACCAGGACGAGCCACTCGGCAATTTCGATTTTAGAGTTTTTTTCTCAAGGAGACGCGCCCCTGGGCCTTGGCAAAGAGATATGCGAAGACCTGGCACCTCGGCCCTTGCGCGGGGTCGGAGGTCTGAGGTCTGGTGGGAGCCCATTGTGTCCAAAGGACCCAATAATTAGGTATTCGGTTTGAGGATAGTGGTTATGTAGGCTAGGATATTGGAGACTACATGATTATTGGGTGCGTGGACCCTTGGGGGAGATTCTCGGGTCTGTTTTCGGGTTTAGGCTTCAGGGTTCAGGTGGGCAATCACGGGTTTGAGGTTGAGGGTGTGGTCATGGATCTCGGATTGCAAGATTTAGACTATAATGGGCCTTGATCGTCCTTGGGAACTGGGACTACTTGCGGGCTCTGGCGAGTCCGGAGTGCAACGCCCAAGCGGTACGGTAGCTCTATTTATCACCGGTCAATCGGAAGCCCAAGCAATGCATGGCAACGATTTGCTTCCTACCCCAAGATACTCCATACTCCAGAATATCTGTTTTGAAGGTTTCTGCCGTTGCCAGGATTTCGGTGCGCCCCCAAACCCCGACCTAGACCCCCCCAAAGTAGGCAAAATAATGGCCCAAAACCTATAAAGGCTATTATTGGGTCCAGGTAAACTCTAACCCCCTGGATATGTCAGGTCTGGAATCCAGGGTTTGGGGTTTAAGGTGTCCCTAAACCCCGTTGGAGGTTCATGGTAGTTATAAGTGGGGTCATAAGTAGGGTAATTATACTTATAACCCATATTAGGGGACTTCTAACTTAGAACTACCCACGAATCTCCAAGTAAACCTTGTGTATCACGGGCAGTTCTAAAGTCTACGGTGCTACGGCAACCCTACTGGCAAACTCCCGAAGAGCTGCGGAGACTTACATTTTGCCAACACGAATACCCATAGCAACAGAACCATCCGAAGTTAAGATGATATCGGTAACAGTACTGTTTTGTTTATTAGTATAAGCATTCATGCCCGCCTGCTGGCCTAGGCTCGTTTTGGACATCTTCATCGCGTTCGTGGATACCTTTGTCCTCACCTTGCACTTCATCATGGAAGCTGATCCGAATCCGTTTCTCGCCATGTCCCACAGAGCTGCGCTTTGGTTGGCGTGGGCAGTTTATGGCATCAGCCAGCTTCGGGATTTTGGTGCTGAGGTTTGCACTGCTGCGAGGTTTCGGAGAGATTGCAGACCGGTACGGCTAGCGCGTTCGTTCAGTGCAAAGCTGTCACGACAACAAGACTGTCACTCACACGAGTACTGCGTTCAATATATTCTTGTCAGTTGTCCTCTTGTCAATTGCGTGCTGGTCATACTCTCCGCCTAGATCTTGTTTGCCGCTGCTCTTGTCGCAGTTCCCACGACGCGTATTCATGTGTAGATATTATTGAAACCCTAAACCCTATAAACCGTAAACCCTAAACCCTAAACCCTATAAACCCTAATTATTGAAACTCTCCGACTGAACGGCGCCAAAAATCCTGAAGCCCCAAAACCCCGACTCACCAAGCCCTATAAACCCTAAACTCCACGCCCTAACCCTAAACTCTCCGAGGTTGATGCGCTCCACTAGGTTCTTCCGGCTCTTGAGATTCGTTCGCCTCGTCCGGCTCTTGCGTATCGCCTCTTGCCTAAATCTCCTGGGTTTACTAGAGACGAGCTTACAGTGCTCAGGGCCCAAAAGCAAAAGGATCGTATCCCATCATCCGTCTTGCTCGAAACAGCAATGGAACTCTGACTTGATCATCGGATCATGCTTCGGTTCTGTACGAAAGAGTTCAGGCGAGTATACACAGAAACAGCAGTCGCTTTCATGTGTTCATGAGGTGTCCAAGAACGACACATGCATGTATATGTCCAGGTAAAGGCATACATGTATACATTACATGCATCTAGTACGGTCGGTGCTTGCAGATCTCACACAGAGAGAAAGATTCTGCGTGTTGTCTTGGTAGTGAAGGGCGATACTTACCCTCGTTGGGTCTTGACAAGTGGTGTCCGAACTACTCTATCCCTAAGCCCTCCCTAGACCCTAAACCCTAAACCCCTAAACCCGAAACCCTAACCCTAAGTTCTGGCTCGAGGTGAAGTTGGAAAAGCAAGCGAAGTTCATCCTCGGCAAGTTGCTGTCCACCAACTCCTTGCCACTGGGCCACTGCTGGCAGCAGCTTTCCCGTACGTTTCTGGAGAAGATTCTGTTGGAGCATACAAGGGCCTTTCAAAAGATAGGCATCCCTAAACCCCTTGTCTGTAATAGTCGGGTCATATGTATGCACGTAAGTATGTGTAGACTGTATACATGTATATATTATGCAGATAGCATATATGTTAACATTATGCAAGATACATGCGCATCTATGTACATATCTTTCTATCTATCTGTCTGTTTATGTATGTACGCATGCATGCCTGCATGCATGGGAGTAAGTACGTCAGCAATGAGTATGTGCGTATGTGTTTGTGTATGTATAGATGTAAGGATGTAGGTATGCTTGATATTAACATAATGGCTCAACGCCTGGTTCCGCGTGCAATTTGCACCTGCGCAGGCTCTGGGTCAAGGTCTCTGGCTACTTCGCCGTGATGATGGCGATAAACCACGTTATCGCATGCTGTTGGTATGGTGTAGGCTACTACACCAGCGATCAAGGCAATTGGATGCAAAGATCCAACATTGATTCTGAGTCTTTCCCAGATGCTCGGCCTGCCTGACTTTATTGTAGAAGGTTCTTGGTCCATGCATGTTTCATGTTCTACAGTATCATATGGGTGCGAGCCTACCGCTATGCGAGTTCCCTTTCCTGCGTGCCCAGATTAAAATGTCAATCATTGATTCGTAATGTTGTTACAAACATCATTAGCATCATTAGTGGCATTTTTGTTGGTATTGTTATTACAACAGAGATTATTAACATCCTCACTAAAACGGCAATCCCAGGAATCTTATGTAGCATCGCTGCACTGGTCGATGACACAGTTCACCTCAGCAACGAACCCTATCGCGCCAAACAACGGATGGGAGAGGCAGGTGCTGCTTCCGTGGTTTTGGGTCAAGGATGTAGGTAATCAGCAAAATTTTAAATAGGGTGAAGGAAGATGGAAGGGAGCAGATTTAATTCTTGTTGATTGTTTAAATTGTGAAGCAACCGAAAATGAGTTAAACAGTTTTAGTAATGTAAATCAGCAATCCCTTCCTTCCCCACCCTATTTAAACTCATTTATTTAACTAGTTTAAATTGAGGTTGATACAAAGTATTTAAGTTGTGAAGCATTTGCTCCGCGATGCTGGCCGTGTTGCCACGCACCTCCCACAAATTTTTGAGCAGACCCAAGCTCCGGTCATTCTGGCCACTGACGGCAGTTGCATCGGCAAGACCCATGAGCAGCGTCGCGCGGCTTGGAGCCTGGGTGCAAGACTATGCTCCCGTTGCTGATGCACTCGCGGGCCTGGATCAATCAGTGCCCGCCGCTGAGTTTTATGCAGTTGCGGTCGCTTGCAAGGCTGCTGCTGACACTGGCATCCCTGAAAGGCACGGGCGGGGCACAAACCGCTCCCCACGCGCACGGCCGTGCGTCATGCTACGGTGTCTTGGGTGCCGAGCCGCGGCAAGCAGCCGGCTTGGAGACACGACATGCCAATCGCACCTGGCGTGATGGAGACATCGGCATACATTTGTTGGGTCCTTACTCACGTGAATATTTCTTGAGGGTTCAGTCGCCAGTGCTATTGACCGACACCCAGGAAGGTCAGAAGTATGTCATCACCACATCACATAAGTCTGCTTCGCGAAGACGGAATTGTCGGTATAATCTGTCTGAATGACATCAGGGTTAGATCAGAGAAGTCAGAGGTGTGTCGTCATCACGCCACATGAGCCTGTTTCGTGAAGAAGGCTTCCCAAGTATAGTGTTATGATATTTAGATCAGGCCAAAGCAACTTGAAAATGTTCTATCGACATAGTCTGTACAATGTTAGTAAATCTGTATAACTAGTTACGTGTATGAAGTACGATGAAGTTTTCAACCTTGTGCTTATGAAAGCTTATAGAGACGCTTGGTTAAAAGAGGCCTTAACAGGATCAGCTGAACATGGTTATATTTACATAGGCCTTTGAATATCAACTGTTGAGTGACATCGGCAGTTCTCCAACAATGTATGAGTTGTGCCCAGGCAGGCTTCGAGGGCTTTTGACGTGATTTCAGTGTCATTCCCGTAGGATTAGGATGGGCTTGCCGACACTCAAAGCTTTATGCTTCGAGGTTCAAAGTTGTCAGTTCGGATGAGTGTTGGTCAAGAGCTTCCGGACAGAGATGACGTCAGGTTTGGGAGGGCAGTCGTAGTCCTGATGCTCACGGGCTCTTGGACACCACTTGACATTCAGTTTAATCAGAAGAACCTGCAACCGCCAAGGCTTAGACCCTAAACCCCAAAACCCTAAACACTAAAGCCCTCAACCCGAAACTACATCCGAAACACCGCGCTCCCTTTGACAATTAACCCCTGGAGCTCTGAAATCTAAATGAAACCCCGAGCCCATGAATGGAACCTCACTATGGAAGCCTCTAGTGCCCCTTAAAGTGAACCCCATCCTAGGGCCCTATAGTACCCTTATGGGTTTGGGACTATCGCACCGTTTTGGGGTTTCGGGTGGAAGGCTCTTTGCCATCATCGTCATCCTGATGGCCGTGGTGCTTGCCTCAACTGAGGATAGTCTCGATTGTTTCTACTTCTGCACGCTCGTTGCGGTGCTGTCCACTTTGATTTAGGTGGCGCTTGGTCCCATGTCAACAGATCTTAGTATGCTAAATTGTTTTTGCTGTATCATGTTTGCTTATATCATATTACGGCATATCATTAGACCCTAAACCCATGGAAGGGGCCTTAGAAAGGGGTCTATAAGGGCTACTATAAGAGATCTATAAGGGTACCATCATATCGTATTAGGGCCGCCTTGCTTGTAGCAGATCGGGGCCATGACTAGAGTTCCCTCTAAGGCTTCCTTGTGGATCTTTTTTTGGGGGGTTCCTTTGGGGCTTAAGATTTGAGGCTCTTTTAGGTCTTGTAGGGTATTTTCTTTTTGTTTACCCTTTTAGGTCTTGTTTTGAGCTGCTCGGAACCGGAGCCTCTCAGACAGGGTGGGCTTTTCGGCAAGAGCAGGTCATCAAAAACAGCATGGAGATTGCACCCTAAATAGACAGGATGATTAGCTTTGTCATCAGGGTACCTAGAGGCTCCATAGTAGTTCCTTTTATGGGGTTCATATCTAGAATCCCATAAGGTAATCCCATAAAGGAACTATTATATATGGAGGATTTCACTGCCTTTGCATTGTTGAAGCTTTTTTTTCCCTGCCAGAGTTTAGCCTCCACATGTCGACCTATACAAAAGAAGCTTTGTGCACTAATCATTAGGGTTTAGGGTTTAGGGGTTTAGGGTTTAGGTTTAGGTTAGGATCCTATAAAGTAACCCAAAAAAGGACCTACAATGGAGACTATAGGTAGCCTACAGTAAGTTTATAGCAAGGACCGTGCATCCTAGAATGACTGTTGCTGCCACATCGTACGAGACTGCCTTCCATAACTTCGTTCAAGCTAACTGAGCAGTAGTTTCTGGGAGCAGTGTAGAGGGCATGTTGAAAGGGTATCTTCTAAAGTTGATATGTTTTGGAAGATTCCAGACCACCGGAGGTATATACCGTAGCCTGACATGTACACGACCCGAGTGTTGCGGATTCAGTTTATCTCAGGCATGTTATGGTATCTAAGTTACCTTAAAGCCCATATAGGAGCGAGCCTAAAACCCGGGCGTTCGAAACTAAGTCCTAAGCTGTCGAATGTCGTTGATTCCGGTTCAAGGTTGTTTAGAACTCATAGCTATGGTTTTGCGTACCTTGATTGGGGTTCTAGGTCTGCTAGCCTGACAGCTTATGAGCCCCATAACTTCAAGATTGAGCCAAGAGATTCATCCAGACTAAACACAGGCTGTGGCAAGGACTCTAAATCCTGAACATTATACACGGAAAAAGCCCGTACTCCTAAACCCTACACTCTACACTCCTGCACCCAGGATCCTGATCCGGAGCATCGGCTTTCAAGTTTGTTCTAGGCTTAGGGTTTAGGGTTTAGGCTCACGCCCACCCTTAAAGAAGAGATTCCACTGTTTCACCACTCTTAACCCGTATCTGTATGTTCACCAGCAGTCTTACCTTTACCCTGCTTTACCCTTGCAGTCCTCACTACCGAGTAGTTGTCGCTTGCTTCTCAGTATGATTGCTATTACTCATAGTGCTAGTATTGCCTGTGCTGCTGAAGCTGCTGTCGCTGCCGCTGCTTGCGTTGCCGCAGTTGAGTTGGTTGTTGTAGCTGTTGGTGGTGGTGGCGGTGGCGTCAGACTCTGTATGCATGCATGTTGCATCAAGCATAGAAGTACTGCGCATGCCAGGGAAGCACGGCAATTTGTTCCAACATAGCAACATGCCAGAGTACGACATGGCGCGACATAGCACAGTGCAGCTGACACAGCAGCACGATGTACTGCAGGCGTCCTTCTCGTCCTTTGTTGGCTCCATCGGCTCAACGATCAGTTTCTTGGAGAAATTCCAAACCCCAAACCCTCAACCGTGCACTCCAAAGCCGAAGCCCAAAGCCATAAACCCCAGTGAGATTGTTCAACGATTGATGTTAGGACCAATCAAAAGGCAAGCGGGTACCCTTGAAAGCTACTTCTGACAGTCCGAACATGAGTCCGAAGAAACCTTCAACCCCACCTGCGACCGAAGAGACCTCTTGTTTTATACAGTTTCTGCAGGTCGTTTGGGTCTTTTGGGTTTCAGCTACCGCCTAACTCTATGATGTTGGTTGAGGACTTATAGGTTGCTACTAGGTTCACTCAGCATCGTGATGACTGCGGGCTTAAGGGGCTTTCGACAAGGTGCACATGTAGAAACTAAGAAGATATCCAGTAACTCATTTGCCAATCTTTCAGCACACATACACGCATACATTCTGGTACACTACATTCGACTGGTATTCGATTCCATTGCATTGCATCTCCTTGCATTTGATCAAGTTACATGCGTTACCCACGTTCGCAAGTACGTCTGTACGCACTTGCACACATACGTACATATACACATACTTACAAACGTACATACATACATACATACAGCATGCGTACATACATGCATACATATAAACATGCAGACAGACACACGGACAAATTTACATATATACGTACATTACATACTTACAAAGCGTCCCTATGTGTACGTATGTATGCATGTATACGTACCGTACCGTGGATTTAGGTTGGGAGGATGCACCCAGCGAGCAGCAAAGTGTCGGGCAGAAAAGCGTATATGTGTATCTATGTCCGGAAACAATGCATGTATATATATATATATATATATATATGTTTGTATGTATATAAGTGCATATATAAGTGTCAAAAGAATCTGGATGTGCTTACAGACAACCGCTCAATCCTATGGACCATATCCCTCTAGACCCGAAACCAAGACGGCGGTGGTAGTATAGATGAGCAGTCCTTAAGCACTACTCTTCCAAAGCTCATGTGTTCCTTGTAGAACCCTTACAAAACCCCTTGTGGATCCCTGTTGAACCCTTACCAAACCCAACAGAGAGCCCTGAACCCCCAAAACCTTATGCCGTTCTGAAACCCTACCTGGTAGGCGAGTAGGTAACCTTTAACCTTTCTTGGGTAGTATAGTCCCTATATATTCCCTATATATCCAAAAAGGTTAACCTTGAATTTCCCATGATACCCGACAAGTAGGCCTACAAGGAGCTCTAAAGCCTAAACTCGTAATCCTCCAGACCATCGAGACGCCCCCAGAAGCCGAACGGCCGCGCTCCCTTCCTAAGCCTTAAACCCTAAACCATATAGATCCCTTAAAGGAGCCCTAAATAAAGGAACCGTATAGATCCCTTAAAGGGAGCCGACAAAAAAGGATCCCTGTAGATTCCTTAAAGGAGCCCTATTCCCCAAAAGGCTCCATGCGAGCAGCACGGCGAGGAAAGATCCTCGAGCGATCGAAATTGGAGCTGTTCCTTGTCGGCCCGTAAGAGAGGGTTTGTTTAGGGGAGGTGTCTTGAAGGGCTTCGAGAAGGGTTGTATACGGGCTCAACAATGAGATCTATACGGAGAAAATCGTTTTTTCTTGATTGGTGTCATGTCTTGTTGATGTTTTGCCATGCTTGAAAAGGGTTGTATACTTGTATGGGTTTCGTCGGTTTGTTTCAGAGTTGAGTCGGCTTCCTAGGCGATCTTGTACTGAGGCGTCCTTCTGTCGGGGTTCTTTTCGTATGAAGACCCCAAGTATGTAAGGGCAATATATGGACGTCTCTTACTGCGCGATCATCTCCTTCCACAGTGACTGCGAAGAGTCAACCCAAGACTGTCAATGTAGAAACCTTTCGGTTGAGGGTTTGAGTGTTTAGGCATTTAGGGTTTAGGGTTTAGGGTTTAGGGTTTAGGGTTTTTAGGCATGCGTAAGCGATAGATTGAAAAGCTAAAGTCCATGCAAACTCTACCCCAAACCCCTTCTGCTTGTACGACCCAACGGAGGTTCTTCACGGAGAGACAGCTCCCGCTATCCCTCTTCAGCAAGGTCAAGGCGGCTCTGTGAGGGGGGAGACTCGGTGTTCCGGGTCCTTTTATTGTAGATGCGTTGCTTTATACCCAGCAATAATCCCTTGGCGTATGCTCCTTGAATGCTGGTGCGGCTGATGTAAGCAGAGACTTTTGGCACTCATGGATGATGCAACTCCTCCATCCCTTGCAGAGCTCTTGAAAGCCAAAGGTGGTCTTTGCTCTGGACTATTTCGAGCTCGAGGATTTTAGCATGGTACAGATAACTGGGATACTAGGGCAGCCAAACAAATCCGTTCCAGGCTGCTGTCCGTGACGACGACGGCGAGATGATGCGCTTGCGTGAGGAAGAGGTGGCACTGATCCAAGGCCATGCTACGGTTCCTTAGATGTACAGCTGCCTGTTTGTACTAATATGTATATGTATATGTATATATATATATATATATATGTATACAAACCCAGAAGATAGCTGGAACTCCTGGACTCATGTATGGTTGCGTGGTTCAGGGTTGACGACTTGTCCATAGAACAATAGGTGCTGCCGCCCAAAATGTACTCTCTGTAATGCTGACGTTCCGCAAATTCATATAGAATTGTTCGTTGTTTTGAAAGGCACAAGCACATAGATGAAGCTGAATCGCCAACGCCGACTTCTAAGCCTCCTACCCTTAAACCTGTTCCTCAGAGTTTCTTGCGATGCTTTCGTGAAGTGATGGGAAGCAATGTCGTCTCATGTTGGAACCTGATTGACAAGCTCCTGCCTGGTTCTGCTTCCCTAAGCAACCAAATCCAACTTCAGAGACGACATCAGAAGCATATCTTTCGTCAAGCAAGTCCTAAGGTTTTACCCAGGCCCAACAACAAACTTTATAACAAAGGTCTCCAGCTTAGCTGGAAGCAGCACCAGAAGTTCGGAAACCACGAACCTTATCTTCCGACATCCTGAACTTCTTCTGATTCAACCTTGAAGCAGAATCCGAGCCCGTACTAGATCTCGAACCCCCCCAATACCCTAGAAACCGAAAGATTCGTTGAAGACCTCAAGCCCAGAAAGCCCAGGAACACCCACTAGCAATGTAGGCTTTTGAATGTGAAGTCACGTTCTCCCCTTATGGCACCTGCACAACTGCTATCTTCCTCAAACACTCTTCTAATAGCCCCGAACCCCAGACCCGAACGAACCACAAACCCCAAACCCTAAACCCTAAACCCTCTAAACCCTAAACCCTAAACCCCCTAAACCCCAAACCCTAAACCCTAAACCCCGCTGTCCAGGAATCCCAGAACGCTTCAGAGAGGAGATACACAAGGCCTGGAGAAATTTCTGTTTCCGGGTTTACCCAGAGGCGCCATACTGCTGATGGACAAAATCCTGCATAACCCTAAGGACTCTAAGCTATGGGAATTATGGTATATTCCTTATTCTGGGTAACGCAGGATTTTGTCCATCAACAGTAGTAGTTCCTTTTCGGGATTACCTTATAGGATTCCAGTCTATATAATTACGGACGCCAAGAGGAACCACTTTGGGGCCTCTGGGTAGAGCTTATTGGGTTAGGGATAGGATTTATGGTTACAGAGTCTCAGACACAGAATCCTCGTCTCGGGTTTAGAGTTGATCGTGTTAGGGTTGAGATTCAGGTATCTTGCAGGGTTGGGATTTGTGTCGCTTTGCTACAGGAATATGTAAAACAGCTGGGGAGCCTGGTGTCATCGTTTCAGGTTGAGCATATCATGGATGGACGAGGCGGAGGTAGCCGAAGACATCTTTTTTCTGGGTTTAGGGCTGTAAAACCTCATGGGTGCGCAAGGCGATTGCCCCAAGGGCCCATACACCCGTTGCTTTGGCCTTACAGGAGTCTCTGTTTTAATAGGTGCTTTGGGGCATATACGCTATGTAGGTGCATGGACCTTTAGGGTTAAACCCTTTGACCCCTAAACCGTAAACCCTAAAACCCTAAACCCTAAACCTTAACCCATCACCAATTAAACTAGCTGTTACGCATTCAGACCTGTAGGTTTCTATGCATCTTAGGATTCGGAGCCTCAGGTCAGAAGGGTTTCAGATTCTTCGTGGGTTTGGGAGTCTTGGGTCATAGGGTTTATGCTTTGTGGCATCAGGTTGTGCCGACTTTGGGGCGTAATTCGTGTCTATAGATGATGCCTTCTTTGGATTGTTTGGTGTGTTAGGGTAAGGGTTTCAAGACGGAGTGAAGGGCTCACCTCGAATGTTGAACGTTTTTTGGGGCTTTTAGGGTCAGCCCTTACGCGGCTTTGGCTTGAAGAGCCCCCAGATACTATTATTAGTCTTAAAGCATTGGTATTACTGTTAATATCACTAGCATTATTTTCAAGGGCCTGGGTTCCGAGCAATTGTCCTAGGGCTATCGAGGTCTCCAGCGGTTTAGGGCTTATAGGGTTCAGGGTTTATAGGGTTTGGGGTTTAATTCTGGGGTTTATAGGGTTTAGGGTTTATAGGGTTTAGGGTTTATAGGGTTTAGTGTTTATAGGGTTTAAGGTCTTTAGGGTTTAAGGTTTTTAGGGTTTAGGGTTTAAAGGGCTTAGGGTTCAGGGCTTGTAGGGTTTAGGGTTTAACTGATGTAGGAACCTGGTTAAGAAACCCTGACCCCGAAACATTTGGATCCATACAATGACAAGCAACCCTAATAAACACCCATGGTTTCCAAACAGGATCCCCTAGTCCAGTTCAGGGCCAAGAAACCGAAACCCGAAACCCTGAACTTGACCCTAAACCTGCACTGTAAATATAAGACACGCCGCAGGAGATTTTCATGAACTCTCTTCTGCTCACGAACATCTGGCCTCGGTGGACGTATTCTGCAACTTGGCAGCTCATGGCTTCGCCAGCCTAAGCCCTAAAGCCCTACAAGTACCTAAACCCGGAATGACTTACCTGTTTAAGGACTCATATAAGGAAATCACAATAAGGAGCCCTAGAACGGTAGGTGCCTCAGGGCTAAGGAACCCCCTAAACCCTAGCCAGTATAGACCCTAAAAGCTCCCTAGACCTGAGAGTTCACGGTTTAGGGTTTAGGGTTTAGGGTTTAGGGCTTTCTGTTCTTCTGCGGGGATCTCGTGCGAGGCCTCAACCTTCACATTTCCTGGAACTTTAGATCGTAGTACCTTGGTCAAGAAGTCTTGAACTCTCAATGCGCAAGCCCTAACCTCAAGCCCAACCCCTAGCCCAGCACATCGGAATTCCTAAACTCGCTACCGAGGAGGCACCCGATTTTCTCAGCAGCGTGTGCCATCGCGTGATGCAGGAGCTGCTTGAAGGTCCAGGGGCATTCAAAGCCCGGGGCCTCGCTGTTATGTGTGTGTATATATATATATATATATACATATGCATATGTTTGTGTATGCACAATTATCTGTAAACATGGACTTTACACTGACAAATATTCCCAGAGAACCCAAACCCCTTTAATTAAGGAATATACCTTAAATCATAATATTAAGGCCCCTATTACTGAAGGTATAAAGTCCTCATTTAAGGGGTATTGGGTTCTGTGGGTTTCGGTTCTGTGGACCTGACATCCCAGCACCGCCCCATGCATCCTCGCGTTCTACAGGCGCAGCAGAAGCGCGTAGGCCCTTTCCCTAGGGCTCCGAGGACTCATACATTAAGGCTTTTGGGCCCAAAGACCGTACTATACAAGGCGTTTGGGCTATTTTGATCCCCAGGGTTTTCGAGCCCCAGTAAATTTTCAGCCTTAAAGCACAAGCAACGAAGCACGAGCCTCGAGGAGCATTGGGATCGATGTGGACAAGACACTTTCCTACCCCGGACGAAATGCCAAATGGTGTATCTGCTTCAGCCTCATGGCATGATCTGGCGCAGCTGTTTGATTCAACTTCTACCTGGACCCCAAAAGCATGTAGAATAATAGCCTTTTATAGGTTTTGGGCCATTATTTTGCCTACTTTTGGGGGTCTAGGTAATTGTGAGCAGGAGCAGGAACTAAGAGCAGAAGTGGATGAAAAGGAGGAGTAGGAGGAGAAGCAGCAGCAGCAGCAGCAGCAGCTGCTTCAGCGCTCCTAGCGATAGCAACTGTACTTCGCCCCAATTTAGACAGCGCTGTGGTTTGCAATAATGGTAGTTTACATCACTACAAACTGTGTGCGCACACATTACCTAAAGTCTCCATTGTAGTTCCTGTTTTTGGATAGCCAGTTTTATGGTCAGGATCCCATAATATAGTTTTTGGTTAACCAAAAAATGGAACTACAATGGAGACTATAGGTATAGTCTGACAGGGTGAAGTCTAGGTCAACATGCTGCGAAGCTCTCAGCCTGAACCTTGACGGTTTAAAGGGTTTAGGGGTTTAGGCTTAGGGTTTTGCGGTTTAGGGTTTAGGGCTGAACATGGGGCTTAAAGGGTTTAGGGGTTTAGGCTCAGGGTTTAGCGGCTTAGGGTTTAGGGCTGAATATGGGGTTTAAAGGATTCAGGGGTGTAGGGTTTAGAGCTTAACAAGGGGTTTAAAGGTTTTAGGGTTTAGGGCTTGATAAGGGGTTTAGGGGTGTAAAGGGTTTAGGGTCAGCCCTAAGCCTTAAAACCCAAGAGATCCCAATACCCCTTAACTTATGGTAGGATCCCTAATATGATTTAAGGTATGTTAAAACCCCAAAGATCCCAATACCCCTTAACTTTTGGTAGGATCCCTAATATGATTTAAGGTATGCTTCTGAATAAAGGGATATTGGGATCTCTCGGTCCCCTTTCTCAGAACACAGGCCCCCAGCCCCCCCTACCGTGGGAGTTTCCGAAAATTTGGGCGGGTACCCTTTTGTTTGGGGTCCTTGTAGTAAAAATTCTATTGTTTGAGGGTACTATATTAGGGTCCCCTATTTGCGGAACTCCCGGCATTCTGGACCCTATGAAACTGGGCTTTGGAGCACCATGCTTCAATACTTTTTCTTAAAGGAACAGTTATGAAATACAAGTTTATACTTGTTGCTCCCTGGTTACTTAAAAGCCCAGCTTATAGGAGCCGCCGAAAGGAACACCACATATCTTGAACCTTTTCTTGGAATCCTTTCGAGGTGCGCTGAAATCACCCTACAAATCCTAAATCGTGATCGACCTAAACCCTTTCTGTTGCGAACCTTCAAACCCTAAACTGCTCTAATCATGCTGTGAACGACCCCAAACCCAAATGCCTGCTTTATAATCCCTAAACCCTAAACCCTAAACCCCAAACCCCAAACCCCAAACCCCAAACCCGTATAAGAAGCAAGTTCAGGTCCGGGGATGCCGAGTACGTGGACGAAGAAGCATGGCCGTGGATTAAACCTATAGGGATTAGGGGTTTAGGGTTTAGGGGTTTAGGGTTTAGGGTTTAGGGATCTAAGGAGTCTTATATTAAGGCTTTTGGGCCCCAAAAACCATACTTTTTAGGGCTTTTGGGCCATTCTGATCCCTAGGTTAAGTGATAGGGGCTTGGGGGGTTTAGGGTTCAGGGGTCTAGAGGTTTAGGGCTTAAAGCTTAGGGTTCAGGGGTTGAGGGTTTAGAGTTTAGGATTTAGGGTTTGACGAGGTTTTGGATATTGAGTAATTACTCGTCAGGGCTTGGGCACGACAAATCTTCTCAGAATCCAACTGTTGCTGTACCATAGTTGACCTCTTTCCTGTTTTCGGATCCTCGATCTGCGTTCATTTGAGGACAGGAAGATAAAGTTCATTTCCGTCCGTGGTGGCGACCCCGATCTGGAAGTTCTCTCTTTGCCGAATCTGTGGGCAGAGTGGGTGCACACTGGGCGCTTGACTGTCACCTCCGGCATGTGCCACTATGCTGGCATTGACTGCAACCAGGCTTTTCAGTGGTACACTTGTTTACTTTCAGGTTTCTGGGTTCCTATTATAAAACAAGAAGCCTAAAATGTATATACTTTTTCCCAGTGGGCTACTGAACAGCCTAGGCAAGCAGTTCTGCACTTTGGCAACGCACTTCGGGGGCCGTCTCTGCGAGTACCTAAAGGCTCGGTGCTTGCCCTAAGACCCCAAAGTAGTTCCTTTTTGGGGTTCATATTTAGAACCCTATAATAGGTATATAATCCCAAAAAGGAACTACTATGGGGCCTTAGGGTGGTGATTGGTGTAGGAGTTTAGGGGTTTCGGTAGGATTCAGAGTGTTGGAGCGCCCCTCTCGAAGCCAGTAGGCCGAGAACTTTCACAGGTCGTTCTGGAGCTGTTGGACATCTCCTCACACCATAGAAGCCTAAATAATTACCAATACTACGGTTGATGATATAAATCCTGCATGACCCATAATAGGGACTATATGGGAATTATGGTATATTCCTTATTATGGGTAATGCAGGATTTATATCATCAACCGTATTCCTTAGAGTTCCATGTTGTAACTAGCAAAATAGTAGACACCACAACCCTGTTCTAATTATCGATGCCCTTACAGGATATTGGCACAGCATCTTACGGCCTGACTTTGTAACCTTTAACACTTTAGCCTTCGGGGGGTTAAAGTTAAACCTAGCAGTCGAGTAAGTAACCTTTAACCTTTCTTGGGTAGTATAGTCCCTATATAATCCCTATAGAACCAAAAAGGTTTAACCTTTCGTTCGCCATGATGCCCGACAAGCATGTCATAGAAACTTCTCATAATATAAGAACCGAAATAGTAGGATCCTTGTTATAAGGGCCCCAAAATAAGGTACCATTTTCGGTAGGTAAAGGGTTCCTCCGCTAATTCGAAAGGTTTTTAGTGGATGGGACACTCAGCCCTTGAGCTCTTTCCAGTACACCGGAATAGGGTTCCGTTAAAGAGCTGCCTTGGAGAGGTCTATAATAAGGGATCTAGAAAGAGTTCTATAATGTAGGGGCCTTATAGTAAACCGGCCAAATAGTGCTGGGATTCCCTACAGACTGCTCTTCAGGGTTGGGTCTACTGGTTTTGCAACTGTTCGGCTTCTACTGTCAGTCATAGTGGAAAATCAACCCTAAACCCTAAACAACCTTAAACCCTAAACCAAAAACCTAAACCCTAAACAACCCTAAACCCTAAACCAAAAACCTAAACCCTAAACCCTAAACCGAAACCCTAAACCCTAAACCGAAAAATTCTTAAGATCTTCGACTCGCCTCTCCCTCGCCCCTCTGCTGCCGTGCCGAGATTTGCGGGGTTCATGGTTGTTTGGGGAGCGCCGCTGGAATACCCATAGGCCCCAAAGTAGTTCCTTTTGGGATTACCTTATAGGATTCTATATATGAACCCAAAAAGGAACTACTTTGGGGCCTCTGGATATACAGGTTTTACCAAGTTAGAAGTAAGGATGAGGTGTCAAAGGCGAAGACATTTGAAGAGAATCCCACAGTTGCAATTGCAGCACGTACCCAAAAGGCATGTCTTTGAGTTTTTGTTAACAAACAGTCTGTTGGTCAACCAAACCCCTAAACTCCACACCTTGGACCCCGAACCTATTAAAGCACAAACCTGTGCTCGGAGGTTCTTGGCATACTTCTGATCGGCGAGATCGAAGCCCTGGAGGCAAGTGCTTTTCGTCGTTTTGGTCGTCTAGGCGCTTTAGGGTTTCAGGGTTTGGGGTTGTTCTGCTTTCGGGTTTAGGAGTTGTTGCTCTGGGCAGCCTAAAGTTTAGGGCCACAGTCATCAAGTATGCCAATCTGAAAACTACCTAAGAGAAAACAAGATGGCTGGTGTCGGTCTAGGTTCTAGTAGACATTTTGTGTTTAGGGTCTGTCCCGTCCCAACAGCTCTGCCAACCCTTGTGCAAAGCTGTGCCACCTTACAAACAATCCTTGCAAACTCTTAGCCCTACACTTTGTGCCGTATGTGGAGGTCGCCACGGGATCCGGTTACTGTTGGTCTGCATAGCAACCGCGTGTTAACTTGTCCCCCAATTCTTATGTTCAGGCATCTCAAAATCCAAACTAAATCTGAAATTTGATTCTATATACACTGATACCCTAACCACTGGTCCTCGAAGACTACGAGCATGAACGTACCTAGAGGCTATAGGGGATTGGGCGGGCCGCAGGCACGGAACATCCGCGTGACGGACCTGTGTGTGCCCAGGAAGGTGGCTATTGAGGAGAATCGGGTTTTGTGAATTTGATATGTACATGTGCATCGTAGTTTCTAGGGTTTTGTTTTCCTGTAAGCCATTTAAGACGGGGCTCAACTCTGAACCCCTGCTTGCACCGGCTTGCCATGTCTGCTGCACGGGATCTGAGTTGGTAGTTGTCGGTTTCGCTCAGTTCAGGGGGTCCTCATCTTGAACCTAGACCCCTCAATAGTAAGACATCGTGAGACCACCACTTCAATCACCGCTGAGCCGGGCTCCTTGTTTTTTTGGCGAAGTGCAGGCAAGATGCGGAACGCTAGCCAGGATAGATGGAACCACTATGTTGAGAATCTCAGGTTGAGCATGAAGCCCGAACGGTTTGTTTACTGGGGTGCGAACATGTAGCTGTGAATTGGAGTCCATGAGTACACTCGTACTCCAAAAACAGAATAGTAGGAGAAAGGGTACCCTTATTATTAAGGGGCTACTCAGGAACCTAGTATAGTAGCCACTAAACCCTAAACCCTAATTAAATCCCTTATAGTACCCTTATAGATCCCTTTACAGGAACCCGTATTATTCAGGGGCCACTTAGGAGCCTCGAAGCCCAAGCTCCTCCTGCCCCCTATAAAACTGCCGACCTTAATCATTCGCTTGGACCCCGAACCCGCAAGTTGGGTTTTGTGTTTCGGGGTTTAGGGGTTCAGGGGTTTAGGGGTTTAGGGATTTGGGGTTCAGGGTTTGTTGCAACGGCATACCACTTTTATGGCGTTGCTGCTAATGGGGTGTCTCAACCGTGGAGTTCAGCTTGGAGGTCCAGTTTGGGTCCACCAGGGAGGCCGGCGTCTGGAATATCTTACTACGAGGGCCTAAACAGTTCCCTATACTCCTTTGGGTTTAGGGTTTGGGGTTTGGGGGGTTCCTTATTATAGTATAATGTGCCCCAAAAGCATATTCTAATAATCAAGGCCCCTGCAGTATCTGGCATTTTCGTCTCTTGTCTACAACGAGGAACAATGCATATACTTAAAGGCTCATGGGACTTAGTAAGTAAGGTTATAAGTAGTAATCAGGATAACCCCACTTAGGGGACTTATAACCCCAATTATATCCTACTTACTGCGTCCCATGATCCTTCAAGTAGAGCAATATTGCGCAACAAACAAACACATCGGAGCCTAGAGTCTGTATATACATGGCGATGTACCCCCTACAACTCAAGGCACTGGTCTATCCATTGGCCCCAAAGCAGTTCCTTTTTGGTATTACCTTATAGAATTTTTAATATGAGCCCCAAAAGGGAACTACTTTGGGGCCTTTGGGTAGACATAAACCCGAAACTTCTAAGTTGACAATCCCTAAGCCCTACCTTAACCCTGTGGAACCTACCATTTTAAGGACTTAAATAAGGAAATCATACAGGGGAACCCTAAAAAGGTAGGTTCTTCAGGGTTAAGGTAGACGCTCGAGCCCTAAACCCGAAATCTTACACTCCGAAGTTCAAGATAACTCTGAGCTGTTCTTTTTCTGAGACCTTGAACCTGAACGGTACGGCTTGAGGTTGAGGGTTACCATTATAAGTTCCAAAACCTGAACCCCTGAACCTTGAAATGCTCAGAACTGAAAACCCTGATCCGTGCCCCCAACAAGATGCAGGGTATTTAGGGCTACTTGGGGCTTATAAGTACCCTAAAATGGACCCTAATTGGGGTTATGACACTTATAAATCCCTAAAATAACCAGTTGATAAGTCCCCCGACCCTCCAAGCAAGATGCAGGGTATTTAGGGCTAGGCGCCTCGTGTCAAAGCCTGAACGGCCTCAAATTCGACCCCCACCCCAAACCCTCAACCCGAGCCCTACATGAGAACTAGACCCGAGATAAGCCTTAAACCCTTAAACCCAAACCCAAAATTCACGCCAAACCCTAAATGAACCTTAAACCCTAAACCCTTGAACACAAACCCAAACCCAAAATAACCCCCCCCCCAACCCTAAATGAACTTTAAACCCAACAAAAATCCGAAACGTGCCCACATCGAAGGAGCTTGCTCGGCGGGCCGAGCAGTATGCGAACCTTAAGGCCCTTTGGCACCCTTAAATGGTACTATAGGATTCTAGATTAGGGTCTTTAGGGTTTAGGGTTTAGGGTTTAGGGATTAGCACCATTACTAGGACCCAGAGTAGGCCCTTATTCCCTTTTTAAGGGTTCCGGTTCCCTTATAAGCCCCTTTAAACCAAAAAGGGCATCCTTTTTATGCCTGGGTTACTCTTGGGTCTAGATTAAATGGTACTATAGGATTCTAGATTAGGGTCCCCTTTCGGGATACCATCTGGTTCTAGAATGGGGTCCCCTTTAAGGGTACTATAGAGTATATAATAGGGTCCACTTTATGGGTTCCTTTAAGGGTGCATGGTTGAGGATCCAGGGCTCGGGAATTTGGGTTACAGGATTTGGGCTTCGGGGGGGGGGGGGGTCGAGCTTAGGACGACGGAGTTTGCGTATTTGGGTATGCTGATAGGTATACTTTATAATATATATATATATATATATATATATATATATGTCTACACTTACCTTTGCCAATGCAGTTGCTTCTAATCAGCATATATCTTCGACTGTTGCATCATCGGCCGTCTGAGGTTTGATATGTTATGCTTATATGTTGCATACGTATATATATATATATATATATAAACATGTATGTATGTATGTAGGTAAGTAAGTATGTATGTATGTGTGCAGCAATCCTGTCCTCGGAGCACCTACGAAGCAACCGCCGCAAAGGGTTGTTGCTTGTGGTATCTCTAGATACCTCTTTGTGTGTGACAAGATGTCGAGGCAAGATCTCAAGCTTCGACTGAGTGGCCCCATGTTGGCTGCAGGAATACTTCGTGTATACATATATATATATATACATACATACATACTATGTATGCAGACATGAATGCATGCATACGCACACCTTATACATATATATATATATACAGAGAGAGTCAGTCATAGACAGACACAGACAGACAGACAGACAGACAGACAGACAGACACACGGACAGACAGACAGACAGACCGACAGACATGCAGACATGCAGACACGCAGACAGACAGAGACAGCGAATGAGGGAGAAAGATGCTGGTGGATGTCGTTGTGCTTGTGTTGTGTGTACTGGTATGTCCGCCAGTTATATCCTTTTTTTGAGTCATATGTCTGTTCTTATTTAATTACTCTAAACCGCAAACCCTACACCCACAAAGCGTAAACCCGAAAGCGCTCTGAAACCTTAACTTTTCTCCCTACTCCCTAGCAGCTCGCACCTGCAAACCCGCAACACTTACATAACTCTGCAGCCCTAAAGCCCTTAAGGACTTACCCTAAGCCTCTAGTGGCTGGTCTTGGACCGGAACTCGACTGTTTTTTTTTTTGTTTTCTGCTGGCCGTCAGGCCCTTTGCATGACCTTCTGCTTGTATGTTGTGTGCACATATCATGATGTTGCTGAAAATGGACTGATTCTGTTGATACGGTGAAGATACTGTTGTTGAGGTTGATGATGTAGTGACAATGTAGTGTGCTTTTTTATGCTTGTTTCACCTGATGTGCTTTCCGATGTTCTTCACTATGGTTTTCTGGACATTCAGACCATTGCAAGTTCCGTGCTTTTCCGTTGCTTCTCCTTTCATCGGCGCGCCTTGCGCTGCATATGCTGAATCGACTACTGTGCTGCATCGTGCTTGCCGATGTGCTTGAGCCCTAGACCGGAACCTGAGTGAGTGCCTAAGTCCGATCTAAACCCTAAACTTTGCTGAATGTTCGCTGATCCCCCAGCCTCAGCTGCGAAGCCTGGGACACTGACCCACAATTTCAAAATGAACCCCAAGTCACCCTAGCTGAGATCCAGGCCAAAGCCAACCACCATGCGGCATTGAGGAACTCGACTGCTGTGCGCTTGTCGAAATTCTGGCAAAAATGACGTGCACTGCGAACATCGGTGTCTCGCATGTTCGTCGTTCTATCTAAGTATTGCAGACTCTGATGGTTTGAGGCACCTTGAGTTAACCTGAGCAGATGAACCGGTTCAGAATCGAGCCCGGATCCTGCACGGTCTGCCGCCCTAAACCCCCGAGAGAAAATGACACCTGCTCAACGCCAGATGATTCCAACTGTTTGAGCCTGGCGGTTGAGGGTCTGGGGCTGTAGCGTGTCTGGGGTTTGCGGCTTCGGATCTATGTCTGGATTTTCGAGTGCAGATCTTACTGTGTGGGATTTAGGGTTTAGGTCAGGGACTCAGGTTTGAGAGTTTAGGTTTAGGGGCCTGGGTTAGGGATTCATGGACCTGGCAGAGCAGGCAGCAGTGCTCTCAGGAGGGTGCGGAGTTCAAGAATGCAACTTTTAAGTGCAGCGTAGCTCCGACTGCTCCCAAACCCATACTTCTCAAAGAAGAAGGAGGAGCAACCTGCGAGAACGCGCAAATCCAATGCCAACGCATCTCATATTCTCATGCAGCCCGCCTATGATTCCTGCGTGGCCAACTTCATGCCGCGATACCCGGACACCCTCCATCCGAAATCCTAAAATCTATGCTTGTTTCAACCATTTGGAGGCACGTTGTGAGACTGTGACATGCTGCGCAATGGTGCTGTTTAGCACTTGAGCTGTACCCTGCCAGGGAAGATGCCTTCGGATACGACCCATAGGGCTTCATGTGACTCTAAGGTAGAAGCCAGAAAGTTGAAATATCATTATCGTAACCCCTTTAAGGTAAATTATAGGGGATCCTACCGCTAATCCATATTCCATGTGACTCTATGTGTGTGGTACCTTGCTCGGCCGTCGAAGCTGTGCTTGGGACGGCCACCAGGCCGGGGGTCGCAGCACGGTCACAGCCACCACTGCGGCCACTACTACTACTACTACTACTACTACTACTACGACTACTACTGCTACTGCTACTGCTACTGCTACTACTGCTACTGCTACGACAACGACTACTACTGTCACGACTACTCCTCGTGCGGCGCGCTACCGCTACCGCTACCGCTACCGCTACTGCTACTGCTACTGCTACTGCCACTGCCACTGCCACTGCTGCTGCTGCTACTGCTGCTAGTCCTCCTCCTCCTCCTCCTCCTCCTCCTCCTCCTCCTCCTCCTACGATACTGCCTCTGCCGCTACCACTACCACTAGCACTACCACGACCACAACAACCACGACGACGACGACGACTACTACTACCACTACCACTACCACTACCACTGCCACTACCACTACCACCACCACCACCACCACCACTACCACCACTTCTACCACTACTACCACTACTACCACTATTACCACTACCACCACCACCACCACTACCGCCACTACCACCACCACAAGCCTGGACTCAACATACCCTGACTCTAAAAGCCAAAGCCCTAAATTGTACATCTGCAACTTCCTCGGCCTTGCAAATTTGATCTCAAGTGTACACTCAAAACAGAGCCAGCGCCACTCTTCGAAAGACGTTTGGTCTGACATGCGTCGGAAGAACTTTTGACAAGAACTCCGGGGGACTTCTATGCTTCTGAAGACAAGAGTGTAGGGTTCCGGATGTAGGCTATGGACCCTAAGCCTTATCAACTTAAACCCTAAAGCAACAGCTAAGCCCTAAAAGGTATGGAATAAAGAGCATATAAGGATTATAGGAGCTTCTTGCGCATAGAGTGTCCTTATTTGGGGAGTCCCTTTATGCTCTTTTGGGTTTGATAGTTATGTAGAACAACATTTAATGCTGTCGGCTTTTAGGGTTGAGATCTTGGAAGGTGCTTAGCGAATTTTTGCTTCCAGCTTCGGTTTTTGGGGTTCCTAAACCCGAAACCCTAAACCCAAACCCTAAAGGTGTCAAGGTTTGTGCTTTTTCTCCTTCAGGGTTGGGTGGGAACATTTAAAGCTTCGGATTTAGGGTTCGTCGCTTATGGGCAAAATGCGTATAAGCAGTCCATGTGTTTTCCGTATCTTATGGTATCTTGGAGTGTGTTGTACATACGTATAATATAGTGTACGGCAATAGCTGGTGTAGGATATTATACTATATGTATCTTGTAATTATCTTATTGTTGTATTTTGTAGTACAGCGAACCCCAGAAAGTTGGAACATGGGTTTTGGAGGATTGGAGCTAGGATCTCCTATACTTTACCTTCAGGGCATGAGGATATCGATGTTCCAACTTTGTAGATTCTACTATATAGTGTAGAAGCTGCCCCCACCCTGTAATTGTGGTATAATAGGAATATAATAGGGCCCTAATATAATAGTCACTATTACAGGGTGGGGGCAGCTTCTAATATATAGTAGAGTTTGGCTGTAGGGGTTTGGGGCTTTACCGTTAACGGCGTTAGCGGCATACCAGGCCTCCGACCGAAGATTGCTTGGGCTTACACGGTTCAGGGTCCCATAGAAGTTGCGGTTTAGGGTGGTGTTGGGTTTTCTGGTTTTAGATACCTGGACCCTAAGGAACCTACCTTTTTAGGGCCCCTTGATATGATTTCTTTACATAAGTCCCGAAAAAGGTAGGTTATTTGGGATTAAGGTAGGGGTTTCGAGGCCCCGACACTACCCTTTACCCATAGGCCCCAAAGTAGTTCCATTCTTGGGGTTCGTATATAGAATCCTAGAGGGTAACCCCAAAAAGGAACCCCTATGGGGCCTATGGGTAAGCCCTTAAAGAAGCCCTAAAAGGGACCCTAAACCCTATAGGGTAATCCCAAAAAGGAACTACTTTGGGGCCTGTGGGTATTGTTGCGTTCGACAACCTTCAGCTGAGGCCCAAAACCTCAGCCTGGGACCCTCTACCCAGGGGCCCCAAAGTAGTTCCTTTTAGGGTGTGTCCTCTTTTTTGGTTAGGGACTCTAATATACTGCCCAAAAAGGAACTACTTTGGGGCCCCTGGGTAACCCCAAATCCCCCAAACGCGACATGAGGTGATTTGGCCTGATGTAGTGCATTTGTGCAGGGATTATATCGGGATACTCTAAGGTATTCTTGCGTCAGTTGGGTTAAACCCTAAACCCTAATCATAGGGTTGAGATTCTCGGCTAATATTTCGGGATACTAACAGGTATTCTTGCGCCCCTTAGGTCAAGCCCTAAACCCTAATCATAGGGTTGAGATTCTCGGCTAATATTTCGAGATACTAACGGGTATTCTTGCGTCCCTTAGGTTAAATAAACCCTAAACCCTAATCATTGAATCATAGGGTTGAGATTCTCGGCTAAAGAAGCCAAGGAGTCAAAACCTTTGCCACAGAAGTCCCGACGGGCCCAGGAAGCCCTAGAAGCCCAGTTACGGCTTGCTGTCTAGGACTTGCAGGGCTCCGGTTTAGGGGTCTAGGAGTCTTGGGGTTAGGGTTTAGGGTTTAGGCTTCAGGGTCTTTGGGTTTAGGTTTTGGGTTTAGGCTTCAGGGTTTTGGGTTTAGGTTTTGGGTTTAGGCTTCAGGGTTTAGGGGTTAGGGTTTAGGGTTTGGGCTTTAGGGATCCCAAGCTTACTGATGGGCTATTGCACGATGGTGCATCTCTGCATGGACACTGACCTTGACCTTGACCGTCAACACTTATAAACCTCAAGCCGTTCTAAACCCTAAACCCTGAACCCGTATAGACCCTTAATAAACTTAAAAACCCAAAACCCCTATAGACCCTTATACGCTAACAAGCCCTGAGCCCTAAACCCTAGACCGTAAGGCCCTATAAATCCTAAACCCTCACAAACCCTACACCCTTATAAACCCGTATAAACCCCAAGCCCTGAACCCTTATAAACTTTATAAACCTTAAAACCCTAAACCAGCTTACTAGACCCTCCATCCACTGTACCCTCTATTAGACCCTAAGTACCCATTATTTGGGACCATATACCCCTATTAGAGGGTACAAGGAGGGCCTGGCTGCTGGGTATATACCCTTCATACAGCTATTGGATACTCCTTATGTAGCCCATTATAGGGTAGGGGTCCCCATTAAGGGTCCCCCCTTTTTCCCTTTGATTGCTTGGGCCCTCTGAATCTTAAACCCTTATACACCCTTATAAACCCTCATAAACCCCAAACCCTAAACCCTTGTAAACCCTAGTTCCTTCTAAACCCTTATAAGCCCGAAGCCCTAAACCAACTTACTTCTACCCTATAATGGGCTATATGATGGGGGTCCTCATTAAGGGTCCCTCCTTTTACCCTTGGATTACTGGGCTTCTAGAGCAGGGCAGTGTACTCAGGGTTGAGGCTTTAGGGCCGCGACTCCGCCCTCGGCGAAGAAAGGCCAGCTGGGAGCTCTAGGGTTTAGGGTTCCCTTAAGGTTTCCTTTAAGGGTTCCATAATGGGATCTATATGGATTAAGGGGGTTTAGGCTTACTTTAGGGGTTCCGTTAAGGGATCTATAAGGGATTAGGGGTTTGGGAGTTTAGAGGATTTCCGTTAAGGGATCTATAAGGGATTAGGGGTTTGGGAGTTTAGAGGATTTAGAGGTTTCGGGTTGGATCTATAAGGGTTACCATAAGGCTACTCTTGGGGTTATTTGGGTTTAGAGTTTTCGGGGTTCATGGGTGGAGAGGTTTAAGAGGTGTAAGGTTTAGGGGTTTGGGGCTTTTGGGTCGAGGAGTCCGCTCGTAAGTTGGCTATCGGGCTTGAGCCAAGCTTGGGGTTGAGCTATAGGGTTTGCGGGCTTAAGGCTTTCCTTCAATCCCACAGACCTAAACTCCCTTCCCCGAACCCCTCAGACTTAAATCCCCTGGGCCCCTACAACGGTTAAGCGGAGTGCTTGGTTGATACGATGGTAGCATGCGCCAAAGTGATGGGGTCTTCTTCGTGCTCTCTCCTAGGGGCACCCCTTTGAACCCGCAAGCGCCAACAAGGGTTTCATGCTAGAGCCACTAGACCCTGACTGCAAGTGTGGGCGCAGACGGACATTGGTTTGGGGATTTGCTGAGGGTTCCGGATA